TTGCAGGGGGTTAATGACTTTGGGGAGTTCAAGCGGGTAAGGTTCGACGTTGAGGATTCCGACGATGAGTTTGAGCTAATCCCTGCACATGATGGTCCCAGAGCAATTACCCGTGACACTGCACACTCACTGCCCAAACTCAGCAACAGGCAGAGGAAGAGGGTGCTTAGTGGGATTCAGGAAATGGTTGCGGGAGATCGTGTGTTGCAAGCGATTGCATTCAACGCAGCAGTGGCTACGGATCACATGATTGCCTTCACCCCCACTGAGCCTCCTATTTCACACTGCAAATGGGTATCCGAATCCCTTGACGCGCAGGTGATCAGCGAGACCATTGCCAACCTGGAGACAGGTGTGCCCGGTCTCATAGTTCTGAGGGTCGACGCTCCCACCGAGGAGTTGTGTCTAGAGTGTGAGTGCCTAGCTGACACAGCTGGAGTGAGCATTGTCTTGGTGAGCCCCTATGGATGCCCAACACTCGAAAGTACTGTCGAGGTAAGAGGAGACTTGAATGTTTCCGGGATAGGGCCGAACATCGACGATGCACTCCAGGTTTTGTCCACATGGACTGAGAGCTATGGCATGAGCCCCCGTTGCTATGCAGACACGGAAGAACATGATTTCTGGGCCACATGTCGCGACATTTCACAGGAGCTTTACCTGAACTCTTACACACGCAATTGCTTTGTAGGGTCGGAAGGTTTAGGTTCCGACATGGAAGATCAGGAACTCATCGCCGATGAAGAGATGGCTGAACTAATAAGGGAGCAAGACAATGGGGCCTCAGTGTTCACCCCTGAAGAGAGAGAGCAACTCATTCTCGAGCAACTGTCCTTCCCAGGTACTCCGGCATCGGAGGAAGAACGCAGAGCAGCTTGGCGTTCGCTCCCACAGCGCACGAGGGTTGCTATCAGGCGACTCCATAGGGCATTCGGTCATCTCCCAGGTAAAGTCCTGGAGCAGGTCCTTAGGCAGAGCAAGGCATCCAAGGAGTTCATCCTAGCTGCCCGCCTTCACCGATGTAAGGCTTGCCTAGACACTGCACCAGTTCCGCGACATCATCCAGTCTCAGGGGAATCGGTGTTTCCGAAAGAGTTCAATCACACACTTGGCATAGATTGCATGGAGGTAAAGGATGTCGATGGTACCCGCTACACTGCAGTCAACATGGTCGACATGGGGACCAGCTTCCAGCAAGTAGCCCTGATAAAGTCGGGAGGAGGCAATCCCAGCGCACGACAATGTTTGCAGGTTTTCATGGAGCGATGGGTATCGTGGGCAGGACATCCACAACATGTGGTGGTTGATAGGGGAACGCGTTTCAAGGGAGAGTTTGCAAGTTACATGGGACAACATGGGATTCACCTCCGAAATGCACCCTTAGAATCTCCGCAGACCATAGGGAAGGTCGAAAGACATGGTGGTTTGCTCAAGGCACTGGTAAGGAAAACAGTGCAGGAGATTCAGCCCTCGACTTGGGAAGACATGGTCATGGTGGTCAGTGAATGTGTGACTACAAAGAATGACCTGTCCAGACATCAAGGTTTCAGCCCATCACAGCATGTGCTAGGCAAACGACCTAGGACACCAGGTTCAGTCATGGATGAAGATGAGAGCATGGGAACTTTGTTGGCCCGTTTCGATGAGACCACTCCTTTCTATTCCCGACATAGAGCCCGGGAAGAAGCCCGCAAAGCCTTCGTGCATTTGGACTCGTCCAGGAAGGTTGCTCGTGCATTGCAAAGGAATGCAGCTCCCATGGACATGGAGTACCAGGTGGGCGATTTAGTCATTTACCGAAGGGACAATTTGCCCGGTTCAACTTCCACAGTGTGGTCAACTGCAAGCCGCGTGATAGGGCGCGAGGCAGAGAATGCATACTGGTTGCTGCATGAGGGTGTGCCTGTGTTAGTCAATGCCAGAAAGATGAGGCCTGCGGATGAGGTCGAAGTAGCTGCACGTCGAGTTCTGACCGGAGAGCCCGTTCTGCCAGGTTCCATTGTCCACGGTCCAGAGCAACGTTATCTCGACGAAAGAGATAAGGATCCAGTAACAGCGCCTTCTACCCCCAGACCAAACACTAGCTTAGCGTCGGCTCCCTCTACTCCCATGAGAGTCGCAGCGGCCGAGAGTCCCGCCATCACAAGCAAGGAGATTTCGCCCAGCGATAAGACGGGCAGGGAAAGAACTCGTTCCCCGCCCAGACAAAGCTCCAGCGCGCTGATGGCTGAGGCACAGGACACCGATCCTGTAGAAGCAAAGGCAAGCGAGCTTCTGGAAGCAATGGCCTACGAGACGAGCCACTGTCTCGAACTACTCAGGTTGTGCAAGGAACACAAACCGAAGAGGACGAAAAGAGCGATGTTCCAAGACGCAAAGGATGATGAGCTTGCCGCTAGCTTCGGTGTTTATAGGCACGGTGGTTTTGTTGGGATTTCTAATCCTACTAAGCAGCGCCCGTGTTTTGTGACCTACTTGAACCGCTTCCTGAGGCACCACTGTGAGAAGGCAGGCTACACCGAGTTCACTTGGAATGGGATCCAAGTAAGCGAATCGCGGGCAAGTTTGCACAAAGACAACTCCAATTTGAAGGGGTCGCTCAATTTCACCATGAGTTTGGGAAATTATTCGAAAGGAGGTCACCTGTGGATAGAAAACCCTGAGGGGAACACAGTGATTGACGTTTGTGGCAACCTTGTTCCCGGGACTCTACACACCACTCGAGGCAAAGTCCTTCGTTTTGACCCAAAGAAACTCCATATGGTGGAACCCCATGAAGGGCAGAGATTCAGCATCATTGGGTTCACTATGAATCACTTGGGAAAGTTGCGCGCAGATGAACACCAGATGATGGAAGACTTGGAATTCCCACAACCGCGTATTCCATCACCCCAAGTAGAGCAGCCCCGTCAGGAGGAGCCTGAGCGAGCAGACGACATGCACTCCTCAGACGACGAGGAAGTTGGAACAGGTTTCCTAGCCTCACTTTTGGACTACCACAACAGCCCGGCCGAGGTGCAGTTGGGGTTGGACGAGGCCATGCTCGCGGAGTGGGCCAAGTATCAGGAATTTCACGCTGTGATACCTTGCTCAAAGAAGCAAGTGCAGGAGTTGCTTAGCCAAGGACACATCTGCGTGCCCACCAAGTGGGTTCTCACCGACAAACATGAACATTTGAAAGGCACCCCCGGCTATCGTCCCAAATACAAAGCTAGGCTAGTCGCATGCGGGAATTTCGAGCACATCTCCACAGGGGAGGACATTCGTGCAGATTCCCCGACAGCCGAGCCTGAAGCACTGGCTTTCATTTGTTCCTGGGCATCCTCACTCGGTTTGCGAATCAAGGCAGCCGACATCACGAACGCCTACTTTCAGGGTAAGCCGCTCGAGAGATTGCTGATCCTCAAGGCTCCTAGCAACCCCAAGGGCGTTCCGGACAAGGAGATCCAGGAATCCGGCTACATGATTGCCCGTGTCCCAGTGTATGGTACGACCGACGCCGGCCGAAACCTCTACCTTCGCATAGTCGAAGAGACAAAGTGCATCGGACTGAAGTCATCCCAGATCATGTCCGCGTTGTACTACGCGCACGACACAAGCGGCCGGCTGTGCGCTATGCTGTGCACTCACGTGGACGACTTCTTCTGGGCAGCGTTCGGTGAGGGCGAGCTGAAGATCCAGCAGTTGCTGGACCACTTCAAAATCGGGAGGATCGAAGAGGGTAACTTCAGGTTCTGTGGCAGGGAATACGCTCAGCACCCCGATGGCACCATCGAGATCAACTCAAGGGACAACACGCGTGCCATCGCTCCCCTCGAGATCCCCAAGGGTGCAAAGTTGACGACACCTGTCACACAAGGACAGAGGACGGCGCTTCGGTCCGTCATAGGTTCACTCGCGTGGGTGGCCCGGGCTACAAGGCCCGACCTCGCGTACCGCGTCAACGCGTTGCAGCAGCGAGTGACCGTCGCGACCATCGACACGATGAGAGAGGCCAACCGTGTGGTCGCACTCGCCTTGGGCGACGCAGAGCGCAGCATCGTGTATCGCGCCAAGATACTGCCGTGGAGCAGTGGCCCCCTCGCAGTAGTCACGTTTTGTGACGCCTCTTTTGCTGCTGAAGCTGGGTACAAGTCCCAGAGAGGGAGGTTGCACTACCTCACTGACGCAGAAACAGCACGCGACGTGAACGCACCCAAGCACAAGCTTCACCTGGTTGCATTCGGTAGCTCTACGATGAAACGAGTCTGCCGCGCGACACTACAGTGTGAAGCGTACAGCCTGCAGCATGCCACCGAGCACGGAGACAGGATCCGTGCGACACTCCTAGAGTTGCAAGGCAAACTGCCGTCACTGCATGACTGGAGCGAAGTAGCGCCGAGAAAGATGCTACACCTGCAGTACTCCGACTGCAGATCGCTCACAGATCATTTGCTGTCGTCGGTACCCAGACCAGTGGAAGACAAGCGTCTTGCTATCGAAATGACAGCATTGCGCCAAGCACTGTGGGTAGACGAGACACCGGCGAGCGAAGCCTTCGCACCATTCGGTGACATCCTGCGATGGATTCCAACCCACCTTCAGTTGGCTGACTGCTTGACCAAGAGCATGAAGCCCAAGCTTCTGAACGACGCCTTGGAGAGCAACGAGGCCGTTGTGAAAGAAGAAGCTCCAGCTGAGTGACGAATTTCACTTCCCTTGAGGCGCACTCATCCACTCGTTGATAAGACGGGTGTGAGATTTTCCTGTACACAAGCGCCGAGTTGGATTTCGTATAGTGCAGAAGCTGTTAGACGAACACTTGTATAGGCATGAACAAACATGCAAGCGTCAAATAGCATTCATGAGACAAGTTCCTGCATGACAGGCGCCTTGGGCTCAATCGGAAAAAGCAAGCTACGTAGTCTAGTCACTGTGACTCCGGCCCCAGTACCCCGCTTCTGAAAAGGGTTAAGGGTTTAGGGTTTAGGGTTTAGGGCTTAGGGTTTATGCAATCGGTCATGCGGACTTTCACGAAGCGAGACACTTGGCGACTAAACGGATTCCAATTCAGAATTAAGTGAGTCAGCCATCAGGGTTTAGGGTTTAGGGTTGAAGGGCTTCGGGGATTAGGGGGTTAAGGGTTTAGGGGTTAGGGGTTTAGGATTCCGGGTTCAGGGTGGAAGGGTTTCGGGGTTAAGGAATCAGGGAATCAGGGAGTCTGGGATTTAGGCTTTTGGTTTAAGGTTCAAACTTTTGGTTTAAGGTTCAGGCTTTTGGGATTTAGGGTTCAGGGTTTTGGCGTTGAGGACCAGGGTTTATAGGGCTTCGTGAGCATTCTTTCTACCAGGCTGGTCTGGACCGAAAGAGCTAAAATGTGCTTCCGAGGCATTGCCCACCCAACTCTAAGCCGCAGTCTCCCTATCAGGAAATTGAGGGCCGGGAGGGTCTAGGGGTTCAGAGTTTCAGAAATCAGGTTTAGGGTATGACGCAGGCTAGAGGACCCCATGGTGTTCAGAGTCTTAGGTATCTGGAGTGCCTTGAGTTTTTGGGTTTAGGGTCTAGGGGGGGGGGGGGGGAATGTCAGGGCGGGGTTTAGGGTTTAGGGTCTAGGGTTAGGGTTCAGGGTTTAGGGTTTAGGGTTGCTTGCAGACATCACCAGGTACATCGAGGAGGAGCTGAATGTGATGGAGGTTGTCTACAAAGCCGACGCGGAGGCATCGCTTTAGAATGCAGAGAAAGGGTTTAGGGTTTCGGGTTTCGTGTTTAGGGTTTAGGGTTTAGGGTTGCGGGTTTTCGGGTTTCGGGTTTCGGGGCGAAGTCCTTCAACCCCGTCAGACGCAGGCTGCCAAATTGTCAGAAGGTCCTCAGCATCCATGTTCGAACCCCAGAACCTCCCAAACTCTGGAAACCAAGCTCTACACTCTGCACCCTTCCTCCCTCAACCATAAAACCCTAAACCCTAAACCCTAAACCCTAAACCCTAAACCCTAAACCCTAAACCCTAAACCCTAAACCCTAAACCCTAAACCATCCTAAACCCTAAACCCTAAACCCACTACTCCTGAGCCCATTGCGCGCCAGATCACGCTGTCGGGGACCTTGAACTTCAAGGTGCCTCGGAGTGACTAGGGTTCCAAGTTCCGGGATTGAGTTTAGTTGGGGTGTTAGGGTTGAAGGCTTGGAATACCTGATCACCAAAATTCAGTTTATAGCTCACTGCGACTTACGGCTGGAAGCTCCAGAACATCCGACCCACACAGACCAACCCCCCCCCCCCCCTCAAACCCCTGAACCTCTGAACCCTAAGTCCTCACACCCCTAATCTCTAAGCCTGACTGTAAGTCATAAAAACAAGAAGGCTAAAACCCAAACCTTGCAAGGCTTGCCCACCAACAGGACGCCGCACCCTAAACCCTCAAGCCGAGGCTCGCCCCTTGAACCATCTAAACCCGATCCCCTATAAACCCAATGAACCCTGCAAAGCCTGCAAACCCCATAAGTCCTTGAAACCCTATAAACACTATCAACCCTAGAAGCCCTACAAGTCCTACAAGCTCTATAACCCTTCACCTCGGAGCCCAGCAATAAGTGGGCCCTAGGCGCTTGGCAAGCGACTCGGCAAGGACATGAAGGTTGTGAAGGCAGGGGCCGAGGTTTGAGAAGCTACGTATGATGGGTTTTAGGATAAAGGTTCTAGGATAAAGGTTTTAGGATAAAGGTCTTAGGGTCTGTAGGGGTTAGGGTTTCAGAACATCTTGGGGTGGAGAGTCTCGAGTCGATTGGGACTCAGGGTTTCTGGTCTGCGCTTCAGGGCTTCTTGGAGCCGGGTGTGCTTGAGCTGATCATGTCCGTCTGCATTTGCAGCTTAGGGCTTTTGCATTTGGGGGGTCTTTCTGGGATCTCTCTGGGGTGCAGCGTCATCAGTTGCGATCCATGTCGGTCTTGAAAGTATCCTCCAGGCTGCCGACTTCCTGAGTCAGGGTTTGGGCTTGAGGGCAGACATGCACGCACTCCCTTCTCTCTCTCGCTCTCGCCCTCGCTCTCCCTCTCTCTCTGTCTCTCGCTTTGTTTGGGGTCTGGTGCGGTAGTCTTTGGCGGTCATTTCTTGCTTCAGAAGTCTAGGAAACATATATCCGAGTTGACTTTGGTGGCAAGCGAGCTGCTTTTTTTGTTCCTCTCATTTTGATTCTAAAGATCTCGAAGACCAGAAGAGTCAAACCACGAGCCATTTGTCGCAGGACGCCGTCTCGAACCTTAGCCAGGACCTGCTGACAGAGTTCGAGAAAACAGGCACTTGGTGAGCCTTCGACGAGGGAAAGGGGATGGTCAAGGCTCTTCTAGGCCGGCTTCAAGCCTAAACCCTGAGTTTCTGTTGAAGATGAGATGTGGGTCCTGGTTTGGTCGGAAGCAGTAGTGGCAGCTCATTTCAAACTAACAGCTTTTGGCTGTTGTCTCTCCCTCACCCCTGTCCGCACCAGGTAGAACCAGGTAGTGCCAAATACGCACTCTAAATCCTAAACCCAAAGCTCTGAACCCTAAACCCTAGATCCTAAGCCCAAAACCCTGACCTGCACAAAACCCCAAGCCCCAAACCCTAATACCCAACAAAACCTTTCCCTTGTCACCCGGCAGGTGAGATCACGGTCGAGGGTCACAAGCTTGCCGGCGATGACATTCAGCTAGCGCGGAAGCTGAAGGACTTTATTTATTCATACATATACTACAGGTAAATGAATAACTATGAACGAACCCAACATAGAAAGATAGATATATGTGTGTATATATATGTAACTTTATATACATATAGATCTATGATTGTCCATGCGTTTATGTTGTGTTGGGGAATTGGTGGGTTGCGGTTTACCTTGGACCGCAACACCTTTGAGAGATTCAGGGCTGAGGCGATATATCCGCTTAGTCTAGTGGCCTAAACAAGAAGGACATCCCCGACATCAAAAGGCCAGCCAATGAATTCAAAGCGAGTTTACTGTAAGGTCTCGAATTTGGATTTGAGGGCTTTACTGTTTTAGGACCTAAGGGAGTCCATGTTAGTATCAGCTCACACATCTATCCGCCGAAGCGCTCCTCCATGAAACCCTACAAGGCCTCAACCCCTAAACGCCCTGAACCCTAAAGCGCCAAATCCCCCTCCAAACCCTGACAGTTCTCCTCCAGACCCTGAACCTCAAAGCCCTGACCCCTGAACCTTAAAGCCGAACCTTGAACCCTAAAGCCTAAACCCTAAACCCTAAACCCTAGCCCCTAAACCCTAAACCCTAACCCCTCGCGCGGCCGTGCGTCTCCAGCGACAAGCGCGCCAAAGCAAGCGCCCTGCTGCCGAGCCGAGGCTCGACCCCCCTTTCGGCGGGAAAGTAGGGTTAGTAAGGGTTCAGGGTTTTAGGGTTTAGGGTTTAGGTTTAGGGTTTTTAGGGTTTAGGGTTTAGGGTTTAGGGTTTAGGGTTTAGGGTTTAGGGTTTAGGGTTTAGGGTTTAGGGTTTAGGGTTTAGGGCCTTATAGGGGCCCCTCAACCCAGGGCTTTCCACGCTTCTTGCACACTTCACGGCTCCAGGCTGATCTCTGCGCTTTTGAAAGTGGTTCTGGCCGCTCATGTTGGGAGTGACCCAAGGTTCAGTTTGGGGCGTAGGTTTTGGGGTTTAGGGTTTAGGGTTTACGGTTTAGGCGTGGGGTTCTCATGGAATCCCCCCTCCCGGCCCGGCATCTTACCACTTCACTTCACCAGATTCCTGCCAGGGCCTTGCTTCATGCCAGTATCCGGAGCCCTGCAAACCCTGGACTTTTGGTTCTCAGAGCTTAGGGCATCAGAGATGGGGTTGTACGAACATAAGAGACCCCCCCCAATGTAGCCCCCAGATAGTAGGATTCCCTTAGAATCGGGACCCCAATAAGGCACCCCCTGTTTTCGTAAACCCCCACCTTACCCCCCCCCCGCCCTACAAAACCAAAACCAGCATCAGGTGTTGAGTTGAAGATGGCGACATCTCTGAAGATCATGGGGCGGAGTGGCCCCCCGCCTTCGAAGGAGAGAGGTGGTGATTTGTCCGACTCGACCCTCACACTTTCACCAGTTCAAGAGAAAGAAGCTAAGCTAAACTGGACCCTGAACCCTTGTAGTCCTAAGTTCTGAACCCTAGTAATCCTAAACCCGAAGGCCCAAGCCTTAAAACCTGAGTGGCCATGTGGTTAAATTCTAAACTGACGCCATACCCTGACCTCATGAGATGGTCGAGGTCTTAGGCTTGATCTAAATCTGTGCCCCGCACTTGGGGTCTCTGTCCTTAGTTTGGGATCCCAAATAGGGGCGGCCATGGTATCTTCCTTGTGGTTTTGGGTGCCCCATGGTTTGGATCGACTCCCATCGAAGGTCCAGGATCTTCAGGGCGTCTCGCGGCCCTTGTTTCTCGGTTTCTCGTGCTTGGGGGACTTGTGGCGTTCTGGATTCATGACCCTTCGTTACCCTCTGAGCTCTGTACCGAGAAACCCTGGGCTAGGTTCTTAGTGAGTCAAGGCCCGCTCTCTCGCAGCACTCATGCCAAGGCCGCTACTGGCACATCAACGGGACCTATGACCAGATGAGCAACACACATCACGAGAGGCTCAGACAAATGAACTGCCCTAAACCCTGCAAGGCTCCGCAGCAAAAGGGTTCCAAGGTGTGCTTACTGTAAAGCCTTGCATAGGTGTAGGACTTGTGGGGTGTAGGATCATGAATCCTCGTAACCTCTAGCAGTGAAGCTTTAAAGTTTGAGTAGGTTTGTGTCTGAAACTCTTGTACGGACGAGTAGGCAAGCACTGAATACCAGTGCTGTTTGTGCACGTTATCTACCACCAACGAAGCCCCTCATCTCACGCCGACCCACATCACGCCAGAGACATGCCTCCCTTTTCCTCCTGCCTCTCTCTCTCTCTCTCTTTCTCTTTCGCTCTGTCTATGTTTCGATTCTGAACCTGAAGACCCCAAAAGAGCCCGAACCGAAGACCCAAACGGAAGAGTTCCGAGTCCCACCTCGCAAACCCGGGCCTCACCAGGCCTGTTTGGGTGAAGCGCGATGTGGTCCCGCTGTACGTCTTTCACACTGGCAAGACCCGCCTGCCGGCCCAAAAGGCTAAACCCTAAACCCTAAACCCTGAACCCTAAACCCTAAACCCTAAACCCTAAACCCTAAACCCTTATGCAGCCCGAATTTAAGGAAGGGGCTGTCGGGGTGCGCTTCTTTTTTTCATCATGGCACTAGAGGGTGCACGGTTAAGGGTTTAGGGCTCGAGGGATCGCGTGGCGAATTGCCCCCCCAACCCAAAAACCTGAGCCAACGAAGGAATGTCCTAAGCCTACAAATCAGGTTAAGCTCTAAGCGCTCTCTAAACCGACATAGACCCCAAACCCATGGAAACCCTAGACAAAACGCTTCAACCCTGAATTTCGAACCATGCCACCCCCCCCAACCTTGAGCCACCAACCTTAAGCCCTCAATCAACCCCTGACAGCTCAAACCCTCACCCCCACACTTAAGATTAAGACGTCAGCTCAGGATGGGTTGTCAGCAAGCGCGTCGACGACGGCTCCAAGTGCTATGCCTACGTTCAGGACGCGGTCTGGGCTCGGTAGGGTCTCTAGGGTTTGGGGTTTGGGGTTTGGGGTTTAGGGTTTAGGGTTTAGGGTTTGGGGTTTAGGGTTTAGGGTTTGGAGTGAAAAACAGGGTCTCAGGCTTTGGGGTTGAGGGTGGAAGGCCAAGGAGTTGATCGGGCTCAGGGTGTGCACGTTCGCCATGTTCGCCCTCATTGCCTAGAGGGGCACCCAAATTAAGCACTGGTCTCGGAAGTCCTCTTCGCATGAAAACGCCCCTGACAGTCGAAAGCCCTATGCAGGACACCGGCTACAATCCTGTCAAAGTCAGCGGGCACTGGTGCTGTGTGGATTCAGATGGTCGGCTTCTTAGTTTTCGGTACGACTTGGTCTATCTTGGCCGAAAGTTTCTATCAGGATTCGGGACAGGATAGCTCTCGAGTCTCCGCGGGCTTAGTTGGTCGGATGTCCCCGCTCTCCTTCTGTTCTCTAGTGCAAGTAAGCACTCTGCGAAACTTTTTGGCAGGCCGGCAGTACATCCAGCCACGCAGCGCGTTGCTCCTCCGATCTCAGTGACCCGTGTCCGTTCTCTCTGGAGTGCCACGAGGTCAGGCGCTTGAGTTTGTAGGGACAACGACGGGACGGGAAGCTCCTGGCTGGGAGACTCCCACCTGTCACCCGCTCGGCGCCACCTGTTCCTTCAGGTCACGCGCCATTTTTCGACCTCTGTGCAGGTCAATCTGGCTTTGGCTCACAGGATTCAGTTGGCTGAAGAGCGACCTTGTGGAAAGCCTCTCCAGCGTGGTTGACCTCCGGACTTTCCTGAATCCAGGCGTAAGTGCCATTGCGTTGTGCTTAGCATCATATCTGCCGAAAGGAAGCCCCCCCAGGCAACGCACATCGCCTTGACTGTCCACCATCGGAGACATCCGCCGGTGCCTGCAACCTACTTCTTCTAACCCCTAAACACCCTAAACCTTGGGATCTCCCCACTTATACCAACAGTCCTGAAGGGATTATGTAGTACTCCCTCTTGCAATCCCTGTTAAGGACTGTTAGTTTCAGGGGAACATACCAACCTAAACTGCGTGTAAATCGGTCCTACACCTCAAGCGCGAAATGCTGAGCCCTCGCATCCCAATCGGAGATCGTGCTGCCGGCCTGGCTGTGGACTTTGGCCTTCGACCGCCCGCCCCTCGCAACCCGAACTCCCAAGCTTGACCCCTTCTGAAGTGGACCCAAGCCCTACCAACTTTGCTTGCAAATTCCTCAACACCCCCTCCCCCCCCCCCCCAAAAAAAGGAAAAAAACAAAGAAGACAAAAAGCACAAAATGAAACAACAAAACGAATAAATCATCAGAGTCAGAACAAAGCAAAGAACAAATAGCAACAATGCTCGTAGATACATGTAAACATTACGCAAGCTACATCCTCTCTCCCCCCCAGAACTTTGTAAGGCCAGTGGCGTGCAGACCCCTCCGTGCTCTGCTCTCCAGCCACGACCTCGGCTTTGAGGTTCAGGTTTAGGGTTTAGGGTTTAGGGTTTAGGGTTTCGGGTTTCGGGTTTAGGGTTTAGGGTTTAGGGGATTCAGTTCATCGGGTTCATTGGGGTTTATAGAGTTCAGGGTTTAGGGGGTGTTAGGGTTCAGGGTTGAGGGTTTTTAGAGTTTAGGCTTGAGGGTTTAGGGGGTTTCGGGTTCAGGGTTGAGGGTTTATTGGGTTTAGGGTTTAGGGTTTATAGAGCTTAGGTTTAGGGCTCAGAGCCGAGGGTTCCCTTTCATTTCTCGGTTGGACAAAAGAGGGTTCCCGTTCCTTGTTTAGTCTCAAAAGGAGGGGGGCGGCCGATCTAATTGCGATAATTTTGGGGATCGGGCTGCTGGCTTTCACCGGTAGGCCCCAAGCCCGAGGTGTTTGAAACCCTTAGAGCTCCCGACCGGAAGTCCCCTAAAGCCTGACCCACGAAACCGAACACCCACAACAAACCTATGCCATGGAAGCCCTAGACCCTGCAAGCGCCAGGGTGGTTGTTCAGCGGTCAGGTGAAGCGAAAGGGGCTCTCGGTTTCGGTTTAGGCGTTTCGAGGTTTAGGCCTTATGGTCCTTGCCTAGGCTTGCAGGTCCTTAGCCCTAAATCCTCAGATTTTGAGCGGCAAACGTTATCCCCCTCTCCGTCACTGGCCCTCTCCTTCTCGAGCTCTCTTTGCAGATGCCGGCTTCAAACGACCCCTTTGTTCAGCTCCGCACGAGCCTCGAGTCAGAGATGGAGCAGCCGGGGACTCAGCACGATGATGGGGACGGTTTGTCAGTTTGTCAGTGATATCCTACAAGCCCCCTAAGTCCCCCCAAATCCTCCCAATTCTCCAAGCCTGTAGCTACAAGATTCCTATTTTTGAACTCCGTAGGATACGCCCTCTCGAGCCTCTAGAATTCGAAGCGCTCTTCTCGCACTAAGTGCTCTTCTCGCACTCGCTTCCTTCACAAAACCATAGACTCCAAGACCCAAACCCACTTTACAGGGCACCCTAAACCACTAAACCCCAAAGCACCCAGGAAGGCTTGCACAACCCGAAGCCCTAAAACCTCAACCATGCATCACTCCCCAAAAGCGACGTGCCCTCAACCACATTGAGAGAGCTGAGAAAGGCTTAGTTCATGCCTTTGGGGCTTGAGGGTGGAGGTGGAGGTGGTGGAGGCCCCAAGCCCGCTAAGCTAAGCCCATGCTGCCCGCGGTCTTGACAAGGGATTTTCGGCTATACAGGGTATTTGTATCCGGGAGCTTGTTTCACACTCAGAGCAATCCCCGACTAGGATGCAGTCAAGCCGGCAGGCCTGAGTATTCTCAAAGAACCGAGAGGCTGGAACCCCTATAGCCCAGGAGGTTCTCGTCAGCCCAAGCCAGACGCCCAGGTATGGCTTCAACAACATGGACAAGCTGAGACAGCTTTGGAAACGCCTGGACTTCAACGGCAACAACATTGCAGCCTGTCGAATCAGGGTTTCACAGGTTCGAAGCCTTTGCGGCCTCGCCCCAAGTACAAGCGCATTTGCTGGTCATGATACTTCATGATCTCCAAGCCAGCCCTAGGTTCTCGAGCCCTAAACCCTAAACCCTAAACCCTAAACCCTAAACCCTAAACCCCTAAATAGACCTCAAATCCGAAACACCTCCCGGATTCTCATGCTCATCCCGGAGCCTCCGCCCCGAACGTTGGAGCCCCTAGTATAGGGGCCTAAATGATTCGAACAGGGTTTTTGGGGAGCCATTATCGTATGATTACAGAGGGGCCATAAGGGAATAGTAATTCTTCCGACCCCCGTCTTACCTTCCTTGCGGGGTCCGCAGGTCAGCCTGGCCGAGATCGACAAGCTGGTCGTCGAGGTACGCGCCTCGAGGATCCCCAAGCTACTCAGCCCTAGACCGCCTAGGGTTTAGGGTTTAGGGTTTAGGGTTTAGGGTTTAGGGTTTAGGGTTTAGGGTTTAGGGTTGCCTAACCCAAGATCCTGGAGTCCCGAAGCAAGGTGTTCTTGTTCACAGTCATGCTTTCAGTAGGCTGGCCGCCCTAAACCCTGCAAATACCCTGCGCGGTGCGCTTAACACCAGGTGGCCCCAACTACTGGCGAACCAAAACCCTTTTCCTTTAAGAACCATGGAGAGAACACACAAGTGTTGACAGCCATTTGGGCACGTCTATCGCAAAAGAAACAGTCGAAGTAACTTCTAAATTTTTTTTACCGCGACGAAAGCCCTCAAATGTCTGTTCTCGCGATGGAACACCTAAGATCTTTTTTCAGCACCCTATGCCCTAAACCCGAAACTTGAGATCTTAACCCAGACCCTGAGCCCGAAACCCAAACCCTTTAGACCCCAAATCGCCCGCTACAAATTGCGGAAGCTGCAGATGGTGGCCGGTGGCATGTGGCCCTCCTGGCTCAACAACAAACCAGCCTTGATGCGTGGGGATCCCAGAGGGTGTGGGCCCAATCCCCTGAAGTTGAGGGTTTAGGGTTTGGGTTTGGGGCTTAGGGTTTAGGGCTTAGGGCTTAGGAGTTCTTAGTGAGCGCGGAAGGTGCCTTCGAATACTCCCACAGAAACCTTAAAGGTATTCGATAAGGCACCTAATTCTCTAAGTAATCCATACGGCTTGCACTCGCAACTTTCAAGCCCGAGACTGGAGGACATGCGAAGCCACTATCGAAGCCTTACGTTCGGGCCCTGCTTGCCAGATTCCCTCAAGCTTTGCAGCCTTCGTCCTTCCCAGGGATGTTTATACTAACAGTCCTTAATCGCCTCCAAAAAGTCGACCATGTAAAGATCCTTGGGGTCTGTTGTGCTTTTGGGACCTCCGACCCTCCGCCTCGCTAGGGTTCGAACCCAGCACGGTTCACGTTCATGTATGCGAAGCTGCTGCTACACGTGGGGGTTTACGAAAATAGGGGAGACCCCCAAATAGTAGGATTCTCTTATAGTAGGGAGCCCCCAATAAGGTACCCCCCCCCCCCCCCTATTTTCGGAAAAACCATGTGTTGGGCCCAACATGCCAAAAGGGTTCGGAGCTTCGGGTTTGGTGTTCCTGGCCCTGCCAATGCACGTCTTCAAGGGACTAAAGGGGAGACCCTTACAAGGGACCTGAGGGGTTCTTTGAGGGGTTATTTAGGAGCTACTTAGGTAGATAGGGACTACATAGGGGAAATATAGGGGTTCTATTGGGGGATTCCTTCTACCCATTAATAAGGTGCTTACAAGAAGACGATCCTGAAGGATGGCGATGGGGACGACTGGGCCCTGCCCTCGGCAAGGGCTTAGGGTTTAGGATTTAGCTTTTTTGGGGTTTAGAGTTAGGGCTTAGGGTTTAGGGTTTTAGGGTGTAGGGTTTAGGGTTTAGGATAGGGTTCATATGGGGTGCAGGCTGGCGCCAGGAGCTGTCGCGGCTGAGGGCTTTGTACCTAAGGGTGTAGGGTTTAGGCTTTGGGGTTTAGGGTGTGGGGTTTAGGGTTTTACGGTTTACCTCTAAAGGCTTCAGGGCTCCGTCCGCACACCCAAATGCCCCAAACCCTACTGGCAGACTCGAAAAGTCCTGAAGACCAGGTCACCAAGAGAGAGTTTCACAACCTGCTGTTGAACATCTTCTGGTTCAACAAGCTTTGGCAGGCGACTGGGCTTCGAGTCTTTACCTTGGTCTTGGGCTGTGCTTTGGGATGCTCACCCCTTATACTGTCAGCTCCTTAGTAGGGCGTTTCAGTATCCTTTATTATAGTGCCTATTAAGGACTGTTGGTACAAGACAGCTTGTTTATCTGTACACTTTTTGGGATAATGTAATCACCTATAGAACTGACAGTGTACACTTTTTGGGGGCTTATGAACTCAGCAACTTAGTCCGCCATCAGGACGACATGCAACGAGGTTTGGGTGATGAAGGGTGCCCAATGTGCTAAGTATTCCCCCCCTAAACCCTAAACCCTAAACCCTAAACCCTAAACCCTAAACCTTGAACCCTAAACCCCAAACACTAAACCCCAAACCTCAAACCCCAAACCCCAAACCCCAAACCCTCAACCTTCAACACTCAACCCTAAACCCTAAACCCTAAACCCTAACCTTAAACCCTAAACCCTAAACCCTAAACCCTAAACCCTAAACCCTAAACCCTAAACCCTCCCGAAATGGGCCAAGGCTTCCCCGCAGAATTTCCGAAGCTGATGGTCGCAGGGTGCCTTTTCCTAGAGGTTCTTGGTAGGGAGTTCGGGAACAAGTTAGGGTTTAGGGTTTAGGGTTTAGGGTTTAGGGTTTAGGGTTTAGGGTTTAGGGTTTAGGGTTTAGGGTTTAGGGTTTAGGGTTTAGGGTTTAGGCCCTACATATGTCCTTTAGGGGAATAGATGGAGGACTGAGTAGGGTACCTAATGCGAATTTCTTCTTAAGAACTAGAAAGGTTTGCTTCCGACCTGCTTCCTGGCAAAGAAAGGTTCAATGAGAAGAGTGCCCAGCTGTTCAGACCTATGATGCTGCCACGCTGTTTGTTTGGGGACTAAACAGGCTCTGACGTCTAGGCTTTTTCCCAGCGTTCAGGTTAGGGGTGCAAGTGCAGTGGGGAGTAATCTAGGTAGAGCTGCCGTTAGCCTCTTGGCATCTCCTCCCCAATGCTGGTCCGGGGGCTGTCTGGTGAAACGCTTGCGGAGCTTCATGAGGAGGAGCTGAGTGGCTTGGTCGAGAACCGCAAAAACATACGAGACCTCAAGCGCCTCCTTGCAACCAAGACTGGAGTCTCGCGATTTCGTCAAAGGCTGGTGGACATCAACGAACTAACGGACGACATGCCTGTGGCATTGCTGCAAAGTGTGCAGCTGGTAGTTCAGGGCTTCTGTTCTCCTGATGAGAAGTGGCGAAACAGGCTGTTGCGTTGCTGCAGGCAGAACAGCCTGGACAGAGTTGAAAAGTTGCTTCAGAGGCCACAGGATCCGGACGAAGGAGCTTCAGAAGGCAGCATGCGGCCAAGTCATACGGCTGCCAGAGAGGGCCATTTGGAAGTGATGAAGTTGTTAATAGAGGCCAGGGCCGACATGAACCTAACACAAGCAGGTGGCATGTCGGCCCTCTCCTTTGCGGCTGAGAGGGGAAAGCTGGACATGGTGCACTTGTTGCTCCACGCTGGGGCAAGCCCAGATGTGTGTGGCCCGTTGCTTGAGGCAGCTTTCATCGGTGACTTGCGCGTCGTAAAGGTGCTACATGAGGCTCAAGCAGACGTGAACGCAAGGAGGGCGGAGAATGGTCTGACTGCCCTGCATCATGCAGCTGGGAACGGCTGCTTGGAAGTGGCGCGATGGCTCGTAGAGGCTGGCGTCGAGATTGATGCGGCAACGTCTGGCAGCGATCGGACACCATGGGCGCTGATGCCAGCCGGAAGCACTGACAAAGGCCTAACGGCCTTGCATGCTGCCACTCTGCATGGACATCTGGAGGTCGTGAGACTGTTGCTCGATGCTGGAGCCGATCACAGGGCAGGCTTTGAAGCTTGCGGACATCACGGTTCCCGCCGTTACGGCATCACAGCTTTGCATGCTGCAGCTACTGATGGAGATACTCAGCTGGTGAGGTTGTTGCTGAACGCAGGAGCTTCAGCGAACGCAGCGACGCCGGAGCACGGTATCACGCCTTTGCACGCAGCAGCCCTCTGGGGCCATTTGGAAGCAGCGCAGTGTCTTCTCGACGGGGGAGCTGATCAGCAGCTGGCTTTTTATGATGAGGGTGAAGGAACTTATCTTCGCTTAACCCATGTGGATCTCGCAAAGAGGCAGCTGAGGTGGGTCAGCTGCACAGCGTGCCAGCAGCTTGCCGGATCATGCAGCTCTTGACTGAAGTTTGAATTTCTGAGTGCGGCTCTTTGTTTGCAGAGGAATCTACACGGTTTAGGCTGAGAAAGAATCGGTCTCTCTTGTGGCACGGCCACGGCTTCATCAAGGATCCGGAAGCCCAAGGTCCCTAACCCTAAACCCGAAACCCTAAACCCTAAACCCTAAACCCTAAAACCCTAAACCGCAAGCCCTAAACCCTAAACCCAGAAACTTAAGCCCTGAGCCCTTCGCAGATCTTCGAAGTGGTGGATTCCGGCGACGACCGGCGCATCGACGTGAACGAGTCACCTGCCTTGAACCCTAGGCCCTACACACACACACCAAGTAGGGTTTGGGGTTTAGGGTTTAGGGTCTAAGGGTTTTGGGCAACAGCCATGTTGTCAGGATGTTTTAGGGGGCTTTGCTTCTAAGGGTTTGAGAGCTTCTGCTTGACTAGTCTTCTACAGCCTCCTGCCACGCCTTCGCTCCAAACAGTTGCCAGGAAGTCCAAAGATAGCCGTGCGCCCCTAAACAGCCCTCAGCCCCCAAGCCGCCCAAATGGCCCAAACCCGCAAAGCCTGCTCTCACAGTGCTGCTCATCTACTCATGTAGATGACAAGCAAACGAAGTGCCCCAAAACATACCTCTCCGCAGTACATGAAACCCTAAACCCCAAACCCCTGGCGACGGTATCACCATCGAGAGACATGATGATCCAATGAACGTTGAATGAAAGGAAGTAGCATTCAGTCATTGAATAGTGAAATCGAAGTGTTTAGAACTCTTGCAACTTGTCAGCTTGTGGAAGCACTGCACCTTTTGTGTTCACGATGATTTTCCTTTTTGGCAAGTCTGTGAATATGCCTTGTGAATTCTTTTTGCAGAATAAGAGCTTTCCACTGCAAAGACGCACTTGCATGCAACAGTCTGCATGCACATACTGACTGACTGACTAACTGACTGACTGACACGCACACACACACAGACACAGACACAGACACAGACACAGACACAGACACAGACACAGACACAGACACAGACGCAGACGCAGACGCAGACGCAGACGCAGACGCAGACGCAGACGCAGACGCAGACGCAGACGCAGACGCAGACGCAGACGCAGACGCAGACGCAGACGCAGACGCAGACGCAGACGCAGACGCAGACGCAGACGCAGACGCAGACGCAGACCCAGACGCAGACCCAGACGCAGACGCAGACGCAGACGCAGACGCAGACGCAGACGCAGACGCAGACGCAGACGCAGACGCAGACCCAGACGCAGACGCAGACCCAGACGCAGACGCAGACCCAGACCCAGACGCAGACACAGACACAGACGCAGACACAGACACAGACACAGACACAGACACAGACACAGACACAGACACAGACACAGACACAGACACAGACACAGACACAGACACAGACACAGACACAGACACAGACACAGACACAGACACAGACACAGACACAGACACAGACACAGACACAGACACCGACACAGACACAGACACAGACACAGACACAGACACAGACACAGACACAGACACAGACACAGACACAGACACAGACACAGACACACACACACACACACACACACACACACACACACACACACACACACACACACACACACACACACACACACACACACACACACACACACACACACACACACACACACACACACACACACACACACACACACACACACACACACACACACACACACACACACACACGTGTGTGTGTGTGTGTGTGTCTGCGGCTCTGAGTGTGAGTGTGTGTCTCTCTCTCTCTCTCTCTCTCTGTCTGTGTCTGTGTCTGTGTGTGTGTGTGGCTCTGTCTGTGTGTGTGCGTGCATGTAAAATACCTGTCCAAGCGTACTGGCGATGCCATTCCTTCCCCAGCAGATTCAGCTCCCTTGCAAGCAGGTCATATGGTTCGGGCAGCAATGCATGATCAACGTGCCGGTTCGAAAGCCCAAGAATTCTCCGAAGCCAAAGGTTCATCCGCGGTATGAGCCAGCTGGGCCTCCACCTCTCCCCTTCTGAGGTTCCGGGAGCTTGGGGGAGAGGTGGGTGGGTGGGCTAGAGCCAAATAAAACCCCCTAACACCCTTCACCTCTTAAAGCCCAGTGAAATCCTGCATCTGTCATTAAGCCTGGAGGGTTGCAGCTTGCGGTGTGTGTGGAGGGTTCGAGGTGTAAGGCTTCGGGGACTTCAGGGGATGAACCCATGACAAGGGTCTAAGGGTTTAGGGTTCAGGGTTTAGGCGCCCCCCCTCACCCGCAAAGAAAAGGAAAAACATTAAAGCACATGTTCTCAGAACCCATGACCTTCTAAACCCCTCCACACCCCTGAGCCCTCAAAGCCCCGAACCCCCTTCATCCATCCGAACATTCTCGCCAGGCGCAGGAGCAGTTCAATAAGATCGATTCGAACCATGGGGGCCAGGTCCTGTTCGTGGAGTTCTGCGCGTGCCCTGCTGCAGGCATGCGGATTCTAAGCCCATATGAGCCCCAAAATCCTAAACCCTGTCATCCCTGCATCCCCTGTTAGCCCTAAACCCTAAACCCTAAACCCTAAACCCTAAACCCTAAACCCTAAACCCTAAACCCTAAACCCTAAACCCTAAACCCGAAACCCACCCCGAAGCAGAACAAAAAGGTACGTGCGAAGTCGCGTGCACCCCGATGGCAACCCCTCCTTCGATGCGGACATCATGTCCGGGGAGAAGTGCAACAAGGCTCGCGCCTCAAAGGGCTTAAGCCCTTTAGCCTATTAGCGCTTTAGAGGTGCTATGGGCTGTAGACCATCCGTAAACCCGGGTGTAGGGTTCACCCAGGTTTAGGGTTTAGGGTTTTTTTGGTTTTGGGTTTGGGGTTTATAGATGTTTATGGGCTACTTGTAGGGTTTTTGCTTCATTCCCAGAGGTCATGCGGCAGAGCCATGGAAACACGGCCACAAGGGAGCTCAAGGTCACTCGCAAGGCCGGGCTTTCGACCTCGGGGGTTCGATCGGGGGTAGCCCCAATGGAGTTAGAGAGTCTAAACCCCCTAAACACTAAACCCTAAACCCGAAACCCGAAATCCTAAGCCCTAAACCCTAAACCCAAACCCCAAACCCCAGGCCCCAAGCCCCAAACCCTGAAGGGGCCCAAGGGGGTAGTTCTTCAAGCACCTCCTCTTTGGGACCCCCCCCCCTTGGTGGACGGCTTTCAAAGTCCTAACGCTCCTGGCTCTGGGGCTTGCAGGAAGGGGGGGGCCCGAGCTTGGCTTTAGGGTTTTGGGTCTCTTTGGTGTCTGATGCAGACGATGAGTTCCTTCGACACGGTGGAGAAGAAGTTCAAAGGCAAGGGCTCGTTGTTCAGGCTTCCGGAGTCTAAGGTTGATTGTAGGTGGTCGGCAAAGTTCCGTAACACATCCCCACTGTCCTGTCTCCTGGCTGAATCCGAAACCCGAAAGACCGACTTGCCAAAAGTACCAGCGCACTAAGGTCGAAAAGTTCCACCTTCTTCCGAAACCTTCTGGGGGCTTCCGAAATTGGGGGTACCCTTTTCGGGGGGACCCTTTAGAGGGATTCTATTCTATTTCCTAAACCCTAAACCCTAAACCCCAAACCCATAGAGGAGGGAACCAGCGGCAGCTCCAGGAACCCCCAATGTCAAATCTCGCCAAAGCCGCCTTTAGCCCCTCCGAACCTCAACCTTCTAGGGCGTGGGCCCCCTGTGTCCCAAAGCCCTCAAGCAATCCCTGAAACCCTGATGCGCCAAACAGCCACCGGCATACCTGAAGACAAACGAAGTCGAACTCTACGCCCTGGGCCTTGGGCCACAAATCCTCAACCTTAAGCTTTGAAGCAGTTAAGTATCAGCCAACAAAAGGGCAGCAAGCCAAGCAAGCAGGAATCTTGGGAGACTTGAACAAGCTTCGGCCGCGAACTCGTCCTGTTCGGAACCTTCTTTCAAAGGGTTCCTAGGCTTTAAGGGCGTGGGAAGGCTTGCGCATCAGGATGTCTCGACCGGCTGAGAGGATGGTGCGCTGAATATCCCAGACAGCCTGACCAGCACCCATACGATTATAACTTTAGGGGTTTTAGAGTTTAGGGTTTCCGTCGTACCTTCTGCTTGGACAGTTTTTTGGGGTTGAGGGCAATTTAGAGTCTACGCTTGTTACACTCTGCTTTCGTGGAGCTTCTCTCTTCTGTTTGGCACCTGCTCTCTGCACCCTACACCCTGAGACCTCAACCTCAGAGCTCCTGAAGCCAGCACACCGGCCGAAGCCCCAAAAGACGTCCGCCCCACGCTGAACTGCTTCGGGCTCGAAGTTTTTTAGCAAAGCCTGGCATCCAAGAGACCGCAGCGCAGCGCAGGGATCCCAAACAGAAGCCGCCCTTGTTGCAAGCACGATATCGGAATTCAGCAGACTTTGTACATATGGCCCTCATATGCCTGTAGGTCATATGAGTCGTAACCTCACAGCAGAGGCTGCAGTGGGAGAGGTCCCGGACTGATTTGTGTTGACACGGCCGAGCGTGTAGCTCTTGCGGCCATGGCTGAGATGGAGGTTCGCGACCCAGAGGGCTTGAGGTTCAGACTGCAATCTTATGATCACAGAAGTCCTTAAAGATTGCTACTATTGTGGTGACTTATACTGTTCTTGCTATTGAGGTACACTTGTGTGCCGGGGGCCAACTCACGGCTGGGCTGTCAGGGTTGAGGTCTGAGGTTGGAAGGTTGAGGTTGGAAGGCTGAAGGGTGGCTTGGTGTTGATGGGGATGCCTTGAGGGCCTATACCCAAAAAGCCCGAAGCTGGTGTTAGATCAAGCCCTGAAACCTATACAAACCTAGGGAGCCCGTGACTAAGGCCCTAGCCCATCAACCCCCCAGTTCAGTAAAGCACCAAGACCCCGGACATCCGCATGTCGGTGCTCGAGTTGAGGGCTGCTGGGGGGTCTCAGACTTCAAGTCGTTGTTTTTTTTTTTTTTTTTTGGGGGGGGGGGGGGTTGGGGTTTGGGCTTCGGGGTGTAGGGGTTCCATAGGGGTTTGTTTCGGGTAAGGGGCCCTTGATAGCTGTTCCCCTTTCAAGCCTTGCGGAGCCAACTTCGGGTGTTTGATGTGACTGACATGGCCCCTCTTTGGCACGCTAAGCTGGACCTAATGGAGTTCGCAAGACGTAGGGTTTAGGCTTTAGGTCGAGGGCTTAAGGGAGTTTAGTTTTTGGAGCAACTTCCCACGTTTAGGGTTTAGGGACCCTAAACCCTAAACCCTAAGCCCTAAGCCCTAAACCCTAAACCAGGACAAACCCTCCGAGGAGGTGATCAAGCAGGCCACCGGGCATGTGCGTTGAAGGTTCAGGGTTGGGCTGTTCCCCCTTATACTACCAGTCCTTAATTGATTATAGTACCCCCTATTATAAGCCCTATTAAGGACTGTTAGTCTACTCTTATACTAACAGTCCTTAGTTGGGATTATAAGTGCCCCCCTATGGTAATCCCTATTAAGGGCTGTTAGTATGAGGGGGAGCATCCCAAGTTCAGGGTTTAGGGTTCGTGCTGGCCCAGTGGCGTGAGGGCTCTGTGTAGGCTGTCGTTGGGCGCAGGAGTTAAGGCGTCTAATGCCGCAACCCCCGGTTACTTGATTGAACTTCTGGGATACATGATAGCTTTAAGCGGGCCGTTTTGGGCAAGCAGAACTGTCGTCAAGCTTGCGATCAAAAGAGTTCCACAGTTACCCTCGTTCTTTTGCCGAGTACAACCACTATCCCTGTATACCAGGCCCGACCAAAGGTTTGGGGTAGACTTTTGGTTGGGCCTTGTATGTACTTAGGGTTGAGGGCTCATCGGATTCAGGGCGAGGTTTTCGAGTTTGGGGTTTGCAGTATTCTCTGGGCCTTGGGATTTCTTTTGGCATGTACGGGAGCTGACGGTGCCCTTTGTCGTTTCGGATTAGTCTTTGCAGAATCTTGGGCCTCGATTGGAGTTAATGCTCCAGTGGCCTGTGCTCATCATCTGAGTTCCATTCCTGAAGAGTTTCTAAGGCTCGTCGTGGTACTCCTTTTTCTTGAGATCGTATGTTTTGTTTTCATTGCTGGTCTGCTTCACCTCGGTTTAGGGTGCAGGCCATCGTATTATAGTGTTTGGTTTACGCGCCCGCCCTACGCAGTAATAGTCAGGTGCACCAAGCCCACTTCCCACCCTGAGAGGTGTGTGCCACTTTGCGGCAGTGGTCGCTGGAGGCCTGCTCTTCATGTGCGAGTTAGTTCAATGCTATGTCCACCTTGGGAATTAGTTTTATGTTTGTTTATCTAAAGCCCAAGAGGATACCAAACATATTATTTTTTATTTAGAGCATGGCAAGGGCCATCGTGTTGCGATCACCGAATGGAACTATTGGCAGGGGGTAAGTGTGGTTCTGCGGTTGCAACCTTGTAGTTTGTTCTGCCATTCCTTAGAATTACCCGTGAACCTCTAGGTACGGTCTCAGGACACGGGCATCAACAGAATGATGCCCTCCCTGCCCCTGTCTTGCGTGACACATGTGACACAGCTGGCTCTGTGGAGTGTGCTGTAAGCCCGGGGACATGACCACACTTTTCCATGCCACCAGTGAAAGCGCAGCGCGGGGCATCGACAGAGAGCGCCGCATGCACTGCGGTAGCCACGGCTTTGCAGGAGGTGGCATCTACTTCAGCCGGTCCCCGGCAGGTGCCTGCCGCAAGTACCGCAACGGCCGCGGCAACCCCGACATTGTGATTGAGTGTCAGGTTCAACTTGGTCGGATACTTGAGGCAGAGCCCCACGAGGTCGACAGAGGCGATGTTGTGGCGAGAGGATGTGATTCTGTCAAGGTCATCGGGGTAGACGTCTATGCTGTGTATGAGTCTTGGAGAGTTCACATCGTCAGCTTTCGCCGCGTCGATGGCAGTCAAGCTTTTGCCAGCATGGGGGCACTTCTGTCCGATGACGACAGGCGCCTGCAACGCCTGCAACGGCAGGCGCAGGCACAACTTCAAATGCAGATGCGGGCACGTGAGCAGCAGGCGCGTGAATTGCACTTGCGAGGGCAGCGGGACCAGGAGCTTGTGCGGCAGCACCAGACACTTCTCACACAAGAGGCACGACAAGGCCATTCAGGAAGCTCCTCCTGCTTCCCAGCCACTTCGACGCTGCTCATGGAGGATGGAAGCCTGAAGGCCATGAGGGATGTGAAGATCGGAGATGTTGTCCTCGCCATGACCTCAGGCGGTCGTTGTGTTCCCAGCGAGATTTGTGCCTTTGGGCACCGGGACTTGATGACCATGGCAACGTACCACGTCTTGGAGACCCTGGCAGGCACATGGAGGTCAATGCAAGTGGTCTCTCTTAGGAGCCCTCGAACCCGAAACCCTCAACTTCCTTCGCCCGAACGCCAAAACCCTCAAAGAAAGCGCTCCCCCCCAAGCTCCAGAGCTTGCGACGCCCTGAGGTTGGTCCCTTGTGCTGTCGGCGGACCACTTGGCGCCTATCCATCATTATGGAAGGGGAACCCTTAAGCGAAACGCCGCACGTCTTGCAAAGACTGCTTCTACCAAGTCCCTTGAACTCCTGAGCGCCTGGACTTCCGAAACCGTTAAGCCATCCGAATTAAGGTGCCCATCTCAGGAGGCTACGTCCCAGCCTCCACAGCAACATGGCGACTTGTGGGGCGGCTTTTGTGGCTTCAGGTTAAGAGGGTCTGGGGTGTAGGTTTCAGGATTTCAGGTTTTTGGGCTTTCAGGGTTAGGGGTGTAGGCAAGGGTTTGGCGTGTCTTTACGCAAATGAGCCCCAAAACTGTGAATATCTGGTCTTCCCCCTTCACGATGTAGAGGCTTTCAAGCTCCATATCTGACCAAAGAGCAAATTGTCTTGGCATTTTCTTCACTCCGCTACAAACGAGATTCAATCTAGCAGAATCTAGCATCACCTCGTTCATTGTATAACATTTCGTTGTTCACCTGAAAACCCGTGTTAACGTCGAATCTTGACCTTTCTCCTCTTTTGTGGCTTCCTTCTGTTCTTTGTCATGCTTTGTCCACAGGCACCATGAAAGCTCAGAAGGCAGAGCAACGCAAGCCCGCTGAAGCTGCGGTAAACAGAGAGACTGCCCCGACCCGAAAGCCCTGAAAGACGTTCGGGTGAACGAGGTCCAGGTGGGCGACAAGGTCTGCGTGCTCGGCAAGCAGGGCGAGATCCAGCTCGCACCCGTCGTGCGCCATGGGAAATGCCAACAGGAGGGGCTCGTCGCTCCTTTCACCATGGAAGCTTGGCCCAAACCCGAAGGGTGAAGCCTTAACTTTGCTGCCTGAACCACCTGGTGCCTCACTTTCTGAAGGGTCTCATGCTCGGCATTCCACACCTTTCTCCTTGTAGAACTGGACTGAACCCGTCCCTCCTCCCTCCCACCTGCCCTGAAGAAAGGCAGACCCTAAGACCCCAAATCCACAGCCCCCGAACTTCCCTAAACTCCAAGGAGGGCACCCTCATCGTGGATGGTGTGGTGGCCTCCTGTTACGCAGTGGCTCGGAGCCACTGGCTGGCGCACGCGGCCCTTGCCCCGGCCCGTGCCCTGTATCGGTTGAGTCCGGCCACGGCCCAGCGTGCGCATTGGGAGACTTGATACCCCTGTGGTGCCCTTTTCCTTTTTTTGGGTTTTGGTTTCCCTTTTAAAGTAACCAACCAAAAACGGGTGCCCTTGTTGTAATATGGTTTTTGGGCGACTAAAGTGACTGGCACTCCTTGGAAGATTTGTTTCCTCTTGGGCTCCAAGGGGTTTATCAGGGTTTTAGTAGGGTGCGCAAATCGCTTGTGGCAAGATGGTATATCACATGGCACCAATAGCCCCAACAGACCTGAAGTAGCTCCTTATGAGCCGCATAGAAAGCCCAGCAAGGAGACAGCATTTGGACCCACGGGCTCTCATGCTTATGTGGCCGGGCTTAGCATTCTGGCGCCTCTGGTCCGGCTGCTGCAGCTCTGAGAATCTGAGAAGGTTTTGAGAGCCAGCTGGGACCCCTGAAATGTAGCTTTGTCTCGATGCATGTCGGCTGTCCTTCTACTGATCGCTGAGTTGGTGGCCATACATGAAGTCGTGTGCAGCTCACTGTGTCATAGACCTACTGGTTCTGCAGGTGATACGCCAGTTTTGCAGAGAATGCTTAGTTAGAGCACGTGCAGATGCGTTTGGCAGACAGAGCCACTGCTCCGCTCCGTATGAGAATGTCCAGGCAGCAGCATGTCCTGACAAGACAGAACGTGCCGACTCAAGTCGAACAAGTCAGACAAGCAAAGCTTGTCGACTTGCCAGCTGGGGGAGGGTGTAGGTGAGGCACTGCCCCACCCGCAACATCGTAACTTCTGTCTGCCATGCGCAGATGAACACTACGGTGCCCATCTGGCATAGCAGGATTCAAGATTCAAGTCAGAAAGGGATGGGTGTGGGGGTTTACAGTGTTTAGGGCCAGTCGATTTCCTGTCGTTCAAGTAGTGCTCAACAACCTGAGGCCCAGGGCTCCACATGCTCGCCAGGTCCCCAAATTCCTATTTTTGAAGGCGCCGCAACCTTCAAGCCGATGGTACCTTGCCGAGAAGGCAAACGCCTGCCACTGTCTTGAGGGAGGGGCACCGATCACCAGAAGCGGCCCAAAACAGTTCGGCGTTCCAGGGCCCGATGGCTTAGGGTCTCTAGGGGGGTCGATAGGGATGCTTAGCAACCGCCTGCAACCCTAAACCCTCAACCCTGAACCCTCAACCCTAAACTCTAAACCCCAAACCCCAAACCCCAAACCCTAAACCCTAAACCCTAAACTGAAAACCCTAAACCCGAAACCCTAAACCCTAAACCCTAAGCCCAACCAAGATATGCAAAAAGCAACGCCATCATTGTGCGGAGGGTCCCCCACGGAACCCGCGGCGCACAGCGGGCGAACTCGCGGTGTCCCTGGAGGCGGGTGGCGGGTGGAGCCTTATGCCCCTAACGCCCCAACCCTAAACCCCTAAACCCTCCCTTAACCCTTCAACTTCAACCCCAGTCCTAAGCTTTAGAAGCATCAGTGAATCAAGCCTTTGATAAACTTGGGGACCAACAGCTCCATAAAACTTCCGGAATCTCCCAAAGCCCTTTGGGGGCTTCATCTAACGTGTAGGGTTTAGGATTTAAGGTTAAGGGGTTAGAGTCTAGGGTTTAGGATTTAAGGTTCAGGGTTTAGGGGTTTTGGTCCCCTTTTGGCAGTGTCTTCCTTTTGGGGATTCAGGGGGTACACCATCCCCCCAACCGCCCTTCTGCCCTGCCAGGCTGCGCTCAGCCCTGCGCAAGAACCATCGCAGAAGGCAGTTTCTCCCCTAAACCCTAAACCCTAAACCCTAAACCCTAAACCCTAAACCCTAATTAAACCCTTCTCATGTTCCGAAATCCCATCATACTGAGCCCCCCAGAGTAGGCCCTAAAAATTGCAGTGCTGGGGCAGGGTTTTATACAGAATTTAGACATGGTTCGGATGGACCGCGAGGATTTCAACCCCGACATGCCAATATGTTTAGTACGACTACTTCTTTTTTAGAACATTAATGAATGTTACTAGTATTACAATTAGTATATTGCTGTTATACGAGTCTACCAATTTTGTAGTCATTGACGACAAGGGTCCACAAAGACAGCAGGTGCGAGGTTCGCCCCAACCCGACAGTGGCTTTTGACAAGATTTAATGCGAAACGAGGTTCAAACCTTAGCCTCGGGGGGTCGAGGTGACGTTTCGGGTTTAGGGTTTAGGGTTTAGGGTTCAGGGTTTAGGGTTTAGGGTTTAGGGTTTAGGGGTGGAGTTGCAGCGTGCTTCGTTGTTTTCAGCATGTCTAGCGCAGTGTATAGTGCAGAACCCGGACGAAGCGTGGCTCCTGCCCACAGGCAGCGCCCAAAATCGTCTAATGCCTTGAACCTTAATTAACCCGTAATCGCTAAGGCCCGAAAACACTTAAACCCTTAAAGCCCTAAAGCCCTAAACCCCAAGCAAGTGTCGAGGAGGAAGAGGCGCAGACAGACCCAGAAGTGAACGAGGCCCTGAGGGCTAAGGTTCAGTCAGGGCCGGCATATCGATTCCCCAGTGGTTCACACGGGGTTTAGGGTTCAGGGTTCAGGGTTTAGGGTTTAGGGGTTACGGGTTAGGGTTTAGGGTTTAGAGGGATTTAGATCCCGAAGCCATAGACCTAAACCCTAAACCCTAGCCAGTATTTGCTCGGAGGGTGGGAAGCCTGAAGTTTGAGGCACTCGTGTGCCAGCAAGGGCGCCTGCATGGCAGATTGCGTGTGGTGATTTGTTAGGGTATGTCGGGCTTAAGTGCTTAGAAGTTCAGATGACTGTCGAGTTCGGGTCTTCGGGTTTGCCGGCTCGACGCTTGATGTTTTAGGGTTTGCCTTGGGCGTTCAAGGGTCTAGCTTCCTGCGATGGGCTGCTGGAAGTCTCAGATCCCAAGATCTTCATGGGCCATGCTGGAAATCCTGGACGGTCGGAACTCCTCAAAGGATTGGGGGGAGAGACGTTGCAGCCACCCTCTGTGCATTCAAAGCTTGCAAGAGTGCATCTCCACCTCAGCCCTCAACACTCAGCCCTAAACTCTAAACCTTCCTACGTCGTACATCTTCGAAGTAGTTTCTGTCAAGTTCAGGCAGCTGAGTTACGACGGCTCCTGGGGGAGCTGCGGCTGGAATACGAGGCCAGCAGTGGCATGTCTTATTACCCTGTGTACGCGTAACCCTAAACCCTATACGCAATGCCGCAACCCTAGACCCTAAAAACCCCTAAACCCTAAACTCTACAAGCCCTAACCCCAAAACCGACAACCCTAACCCCTAAACCCTAAACTCTCACCCCTAAACCCTAGATGCCTCGCAAGCCCTTCAACAGGACCTCAGTACTGAGAGCCGCGAGCGATCGGCCGAGCTGTTGGTGGCTGAGAAGGCCAAGGCTGAGCTGGAGGCCCCGACCCTGGAAGCCCGAACAAAGAAGCCCAATATCCACAAGGGTTTAGGGTTTAGGGTTTAGGGTTTAGGGTTGAGCGAAACCCCTGGTAATCCTTGTAAGTTCCAAGCCTTTCCTAAATTCCATTCTATTTGAACCGGCCCAAGAAACACTCTAACTCCCTTGTGGCGGCTATTGGAGAATTGGCCCTAAAACTCAAGAAGCCCTAAGTTTGTGCGGGCTTCAGGTTCTTTATTTAATTAGTTTTGGCTGTGCCAGGTTGTCTGAATGATGTCGTTTCCGTCTCTGGTTAGGGCTTCAGATTTCAGGGTGTTGGAGCTTTAGGACGTCGGGGTGTTGAGGGCTGTTCAGGCATTCGTGGGCTTAGGGGGTTATTTCGGGTGGGCTAACTTGTGTTTAGGGCTTCTAGAAATGGAGCTCAGGGGGGATCCCTCAAAGGGTTGTAGGTGCAAAGGGTGGGCTGTAAAAGGTTGCCTCCCTCAAGCATCCTAACATCCTGGACCCTCAGCCGGTGGGAAGCTCGCGCAGCAATGGCAGGAGAAGTTCCATGATGCGTCGCGGAGAGAGGCCCTCCGTGGCCTTTTGTGTTCATGAGCCGGCTGCGGGTTGAGGTTTGCAGGGAGCTTATCCGGAAGATGTCGCACACACTTCGTGCCGAAGGCCACCATTCATTGTTGGGGCTGGAGTCTTTTTGTCTTTGTCTTTGTCTGGCGATCCAAGTCCATATTGGACGTAGCCGAAAATTCATGCATTAAATTCAGGTTTGAAGCAGTTTGCTCTCAAGGAAGCCCTCACGCCTGTAACACGAGGAACCCATCCCTGGAGCAGAAATCTGCGGACCCAGCCTATGCACAAAAAGGCAAACTGGTATAGCAGCGTCGCGCAAGCTCTATGAGCAGAAAAGCGCCAAAACTATTCATGTGGAGACAGGAGAGGGGACCCTCCGAAAGTGTGACAACAAGCGCTGGCCCATGAACGACCACGAAGCCAGCAACATATCTACAGGACAACAGGGAGGGCTGATCATCAGATTTCCCTGCGGTCCAGCTTTGAGCATTCCTCCAGGGGCTGGGAGAGGCAAGAACAAAGCTAACACGCCCCACACTTCAAAAGATCTGTGCCCGCTCAAACATTCCCAAATGTGCAGTGACAACGTGTACACAATCGAAAAACGAAGAGCCAAAGCCCGTCATGTCACATCTTTCAGGAGGGGTCGCGCAGGCCAACCAGGGTGATGGTTTTTCTGGCCAGGGTCGCCACGAAGGTTTGCGTGCCGTCAAGCAGGGCGAGCATCATGTGGAGCGTGAACCGCTTATGGTCTGAAAGCGAGCGGCGATCCTCCAATTGCCCACCTGGGTAGATGAGGCGTGGCTTTTCCGGTGGGACGCCCGTCTTATCCGGGATCTGCGCCTTCGCATTGCCAAACGCTTTGGAAGCCTCAACAACCAGCGTGATGGTCTTGCTGGTCAGGGTCGTCACGAAGGTGTGCATGCTACCAAGTAGGGGGAGCATCACGTAGAGCATGAACTCCTTGTCGTCCGACTGCTCGCTTGCAAAGATGAGGCGCCACTGAATGAGTGATATGTTCGCTGTACCCTGGGTCGTCGCCTTCATGTGGGCGGAGACGGTCGTGTCGGCCAGCGTCTTCTCGAAGCACTGCGTGCCACCGCATAGGTGTAGCACCAGGTGGAGCACTGAATCGTGGTCTGAAATCGCGCAGCCGTCCTCCAACTGCATTCTCGCAAGGATGAAGTGCTGGATGTACACCATGTCCTGGGTCGTCGCCTTCATGTTGGTCATGTCGGCCAGCGTCTTCTCGAAGCACTGCGTGCCGCCGCGTAGGTGTAGCACCAGGTGGAGCACTGAATCATGGTCTGAAATCGCGCAGCCGTCCTCCAACTGCATTCTTGCAAGGATGAAGTGCTGGATGTACACCGTGTCCTGGGTCGTCGCCTTCGTGTTGGTCATGTCGGCCAGCGTCTTCTCGAAGCACTGCGTGCCACCGCATAGGTGTAGGACCAGGTGGAGCACTGAATCATGGTCTGAAATCGCGCAGCCGTCCTCCAACTGCATTCTTGCAAGGATGAAGTGCTGGATGTACACCGTGTCCTGGGTCGTCGCCTTCATGTTGGTCATGTCGGCCAGCGTCTTCTCGAAGCACTGCGTGCCACCGCATGGGTGTAGCACCAGGTGGAGCATTGAATCGTGGTCTGAAATCGCGCAGCCGTCCTCCAACTGCATTCTTGCAAGGATGAAATGCTGGATGTACACCGTGTCCTGGGTCGTCGCCTTCATGTTGGTCATGTCGGCCAGCGTCTTCTCGAAGCACTGCGTGCCACCGCATGGGTGTAGCACCAGGTGGAGCACTGAATCGTGGTCTGAAATCGCGCAGCCGTCCTCCAACTGCATTCTTGCAAGGATGAAGTGCTGGATGTACACCGTGTCCTGGGTCGTCGCCTTCATGTTGGTCATGTCGGCCAGCGTCTTCTCGAAGCACTGCGTGCCACCGCATAGGTGTAGCACCAGGTGGAGCACTGAATCGTGCTCTGAAATCGCGCAGCCGTCCTCCAACTGCATTCTTGCAAGGATGAAGTGCTGGATGTACACCGTGTCCTGGGTCGTCGCCTTCATGTTGGTCATGTCGGCCAGCGTCTTCTCGGAGCACTGCGTGCCACCGCATAGGTGTAGCGCCAGAGAAAGCATGGGCTCCTGCTGGACGTCGTAGCCTGAAAATGCGTTGCCATCCTCCCATTGCTCGCATGCACAGATGAGGCTCTGATGATTGGTTGAGACGCCGTCCTTTTCCTGCACGTTGTCAATCGCTGCCGAAACCTGAACAGTGAAGGTGCGGGTCCTGCTGAGGAAGATCCGCTCTGGGCACTCCCATTCCTGGCGGCAGAAAAGCAACTTTTCCTCATCATCAGGCGACATGCAAGCGCAATGTTTGTCTGATGCATGGCACTCCATCTTGCCGTAGCTCAAGATGCTGGAGCGCACTCCTTGCATGCCTGCAAATCCTTAATCGCTACGCATGCAATCATCTGGCTCGTGACGTGCCCACATTTCCCATTCGAGCTATCTGCAACAAGGGGCACTGGGGCGCTACGAAATTCCTACCAGCCTCGCTGGTGAGGCGATTCGGGCCCTGGGGCTGGAGTGCTAAAAAAACCCTCAAGACCAAACCCTCAAGACCGTTAAGTGGCTTTCTGCGCAGCTAGCCGCGACTAGGGCTTTGGGTTTGAATATACAGTTTCAGGGATTCCTGCTTTTAGGGTCAAAACCCCTCAATGCCGCTGAAGGCCTACGTCCCAGACCCGCGGAACCCCTCAAGTCCCCACATCCCAAGCCTCAAGCCCCAAGCCCCAAGCCCCAAGCCCTAAAACCTAAACCCTAAACCCTAAGCCCTAAACCCTAAACCCTAAACCCTAAACCCTAAACCCTAAACCCTAAACCCTAAACCCTAAACCCTAAACCCTAAACCCTAAACCCTAAACCCTAAACCCACCAAAGCCCTAGAAACCCGAGGAGCAGCTGAGGGCCAGCTGCGACGCCTCCATGGCATCCTCTGAGGCGGAGCAGCTCGAGGTGGGACAGGGATGGTCCAACATGGCTGCTAGGGTTGAGGGTTTAGGGTTTAGGGTTTAGGGTTTAGGGTTTAGGGTTTACGGTTTAGGGTTTAGGGTTTGGGGTTTAAGGTTTAGGGTTTAGGGTGTAGGGTGTAGGGTGTAGTGTGTAGGGTGTAGGGTTTTAGGTGTAGGGTTTAGGGGTGCATTTTTATGCCTCGCTGTCCCCAACCCGAAGTACGAAGCCCTCAGCGCCCTGCGGCCCGGCAAGCTCAAAGGTGTCTCAGCTCCGCCGTCGCGTGGCGGCTTTGTCCGCCCACTTGAGTTCAGCCTCGGCTCTCAGCGAACCAAGGGTTTTGCACAGGGGCCTTTGGGCCGAAAAGCCCTGACCTGAAGCCCAAGTCCTTAATCTACGCCCATGCAATGGTTGAGTCAGGGACTTCGGTTTGATGTACGGGGGCATGACGAAAGCTCCGCTCAGCAAGCCCTCAGAACTCAACCCCGTCCCCCACATCCGACCCTCCCCTAGGTGCTGTCCCCTGTCAGCGCAGCTTGTCGCATTCGCCCCTTGAGCAGTTACAAGGACCACAGCAGCTTGGGGGCTTCCTCCGGGGCCCGCGGTGACTTCGGGTTCAAGGTTTTCGCGTTGAGGGCGTTCAGGCCCACTGGTTTCCCCCAATGAAGCTGGGAGCATGACAGCTCAGGGGCTCAGGACATTGCTTCAAGAATCGCTTCGAAAATAGATAAATAGGTAAATAAACAAACAGCAAAAAAAACGGCCCCTTCGGGCACTCCCTTTTGATCAAGGAGCCCCGTGTCGGGTACACGTACTCGCAGAGTGCATTTGCACCCGAAGGTCGCTATCTATCTCTCTACGGCTTCAGGGGTTTAGGGCTTAAGGCTTGAGGGTCTAAGGGTTAAGGGTTGAAGGGTTTAAGGGTTTAACGGTTTAGAGTTGTTTAAGGATTTCAGGGTTTAAGGGTTAAGGGGTTTAATGGTGTAAGGGGTTTAAGAGCTTAGGGGTTCAGGGGTCTCCCACAGCAGCCTTGCTGAGTGTAGGACTCTGATCTGGGGACGCGGACCTTGTCCGTCGATGGCCCTGAGATCACGGTGGAGGCCACCGGTTGGGCGTTTGCTTCTTAGTGGCTCCCCTTTACAAGGGCAATATGGGGATCAGTAAATAAGTTGCCTGTGCCCTTTTGAAAGGGTAATATGGAGGGGGGGGGGTAAAGATATTGCCTTTAATAACGAGCCTTCTCCAGGAGTGAGTCCGGACCCAGAAAAACGTCGATAGTTTGTTGGTTTTTTCTCCTAAGCCCTAAATCCTAAACCCTGAACCCTGAACCCTCAACCCTCAACCCTAAACCCTAAACCCTAACCCTATAAACCCTAAGCCCTAAGCCCTAAACACTGGTATTGGTATGCGGAGGACGCCATGGGACGATTACGAAAGTTCAAGATCGACCGCGTCCTGGATGATGCGCCGCAAGAGGACAAGCAGGGACTATAGTAGAGCCGCATGGCATCCAGGCCTTTTGGGGGTTTAGGGTTTAGGGTTTAGGGTTTAGGGTTTAGGGTTTAGGGTTTAGGGTTTAGGGCCGCGCGCTCCCAAGGTTCAGATGCTTTAAGCCCTCCGTTGAACAGCTTTTCATTCGAATTCTACCCTAAAGCTTGAACCCATGAGCCGTGCTTCTTTCCGTGCATTCGGGGTCCTATATGCACTAAAGCACTAAGGAGTTCGAGATACATCTCACGCGAGCCGACCGTTGATCTGCGCCTACTCGAGACCCTGAATTTCCTTCTGCCTGGGTTGTTAGGGTTGAGGGCTTGTGGGTTTGTGGCTTTAGAATCCCTAGAAACAAACCCACAAGCCCTCAACCCTAAACCCTAAACCCTACACCCTACACCCTGCACCCTGCACCCTAAACCCTAGACCTAAATCCTAAACCCTAAACCTTCCAGGACTTGTTTCTCGCTGCAGCTCCTTGGGCACGGGAACCCAGACTGTGCCAATCAGAGTTTCACTCAACCCTTTGCCGTTCTACATGGGCACACGTCTTTTGCTCCTGCCCCCTCCGCGTCTGGATCTCCCCTCTCCATCACCAACCCCCAAGCTTCGAGCCCCAGCCCTTGAAGCTTCTACCCTTCAACCCCCCAAACCCCCCCCCCCCCTACATCCTAGACCCCCGGATTCCAAACACGATTCATAGTTTTGGACTCGCCTTTTCCGCGCAACACCATAAAGCATCTAACTCAGGCTAGACCCCTGCACCCACCCCCTCTCCCCACGTCAAAACGACCCAAAAGGGACCTTCCAGGTACAATCATGATATGTGAAGTTTGGGGGGGGAGGGGGGGGGTGGGGGAGGGTGAAAGTCAGGAAGCTCCATATGGGGGGTTTCCGAAATTCGGGGGTACCTATTCTGAAAAGGGAATCCTACCTACTATGTGGGGATTCATAATTGGGGGATCCCTATTTTTCCGCCACCCCCCCCCCCCCCCCCCCCCCCTGGGTTTAGGGTTTAGGGTTTAGGGTTTAGGGCCTTCACAAGGTCGAGCATGCTGCCCTTGGCGGCTCCTCCTGCGTCTTCGCCTATGGCGCCACCGGGTCTGGGAAGACGCACCTGGGTACACAACGGATGGCTTAGGGTTTAGGGTTTAGGGTTTAGGGTTTAAGGGTTAAGGGTTTAGGGTTTAGGGTTTAGGGTTTAGGGTTTAGGGTATTTGGGGGTTTACGAGAATAAGGGACCCCTGATCTAGACTCCCAAATAGTAGGATCCCCTTGTAATATGCTTATCATACCCCTAAAATCGTACACCCCCCATTTAGGGTGTGTCGGCGTGTGGGCTTGGGGCTGAGGGTTTTGATGTTTCCGGTGCATGGTTGGGCCAAAGTCGCCGAACTGAGTGTTGAGAAGTGTGAAAAACCCTAAAACCTAAACCCTAAGCCCTAAGCCCCCTTAGATTTTGGGAGGTTTCGGGCCTCGGAGGTCAACCCTCAGACTGACACCCTGTGAGAATGCTCTTTGAGAGGTTTAGGGCCTAGAAAGCTGTTAGGGCCTAGGGGCCGAAATCCTGAAAGCCCGAGTTCTGTTCCAAGTCAACCCCGGCTTCAGCCAGACTTGAGGCACAGCATCCTGGGAGAAGGCGACGAGACCAGCCTAGGGCCCAAGTCTTGCTTGGGTGTAAGTTGGGTCTGGAGTGGGCAAGATGCGTAGTTGTTTTGTGGGTTTAGAGTTCAGGGTTGCCCTAGACCCTAGACCCTAAACCCTAAACCCTAAACCCTAAACCCTAGACCCTAGACCCTAGACCCTAAACCGCGTCAGGGTTTAGGGTAGGATTACGGGTGTAGGATTTTTGAGGCTGGTGGGTCTTGCGTTGCACTGAGGGCCCTTCCGGACAAGGAAAGCCATGATGCGCTAGTTGAATTCAGGGCCCGAACCTCCCTAAACCCTAAACCCTAAACCCCCCCCCCCCCCTTTCGGCGCTTTACGGGGCGCTTTCCGAGGACCTGGACTCGCACACCACGCCATCCGCCGCCTCATCGAGGGGCAGAACTGCGGGGAGGTCCGCATCTCGATGCTCGAGGCCTCGGGTTAGGGTTTAGGGTTTCAGGGTTTCAGGGTTTCAGGTTTTCAGGGTTTCGGGGTTTCGGGGTTTTCAGGGTTTCGGGGTTTCAGGGTTTCAGGGTTTCAGGGTCCGGGGGGGGGGGGGGGGGGGCAAGATCGAGCTCTGGGGCTAATTTAGGCGTCAAGGTTTAGGGCTTTGGGCCGTTCTGGTTCAGGGGCTTTGGGTGGCTTTGCCGAGTTTTGCGTCTGAAAAAAGGCCTTCGGAAATCCCTCTTCTGCACCGACCCCAAAGGCCGAGCCCCTAAAAGCCTCGAAACCCTAAAACCTTTAAAGCCCTTTCCTTGAAGCCAAAACCCTACAGAAGACCCTCACCCTAACCCGAAACCCTAAGCCCCACAAACCCTAAACCCTCTAAACCCTCTAAACCAACCCCATAAACCCTATAAATCCCTATAGACCCCATATAAATACCTCTAAAACCCCGTAAGCCCTCTAATTCCCTAACCCCCCACCCCGAAACCCTAAACCCTAAACCCCGAAACCCTGAAACCCCGAAACCCTGAAACCCTGAACCCCCGAAACCCTAAACCCTGAAACCCTGAAACTCTGAAACCCTGAGGGCGAAAACCTCAAACCCCGAAACCCCCAACACCCCCCGCAAGCCGAAGGTTGAAAAAGCGCTGCAGCCATGGAAAGCAGTGCCCCTAAACAAGAGGCCCACACCCCAAAGGGCCTCCCGCCGCAGGTCTACTGCGAGCAGATTCGGGATCTGCTGGCTTCCTGTGAGGCTGTTGGGGGGGGTTTTGGGTGTAGGGGCCCCGGAGGCAGGGTCCGTTTGAGGTGCGGGCTTTGTGTGCTTGGGGTCTATTGAAATAGAGGGTTTTGGGGCTCTACTACGGTTCGGGGTTGGGCTGGGGTTTCTTTAAGAGGAGGAGTTGATTCGGGGTCAGGATCTGTTGAGGGTTGTCTCGGAATTTCTCGGCATGAGCATTGAAACCCTAAGTGTTCAACTGAATATATAGGGCTTACCCCACGCCCTAAACCCCTTGAACCGCAAGCGAAGGTGCCAGTAAAGGGTTTAGGGTTTATGCCCGGCATGGGGCGTTTTGATGGATCAAGCGACAAGCAGACCAACACCACCCTGCCATAGCTCCAAAAGACCCTCAGTCTATAAGGAATTTTCGAGTCAGCTGCAACCGGCAGGGCGGTGCTCAGCCAACTTTGGCATGCAGCAGACGGGACGGTCAAGGAAAGATGATGCTGGACTACGTGGAGGCGCGAGGGGCCTTCATACTTGGTTTAGGGTTTAGGGTTGAGGCTTTGGGGTGTGGAGTTTTTGGTGGGGTGTAGGACATTTTGTGCGGGCCTCGGCCCTGGCAAGTCCTTTCGCCGGCAAGTACTTTTGCGGTTTTAGGTCACACTTGGGGAGGCTGGCGTCTAGTTCGGCTTCATCTTGCGCTGAGTTCTTCTGAAACCCTGAACTCTAGGTTTCCGCAAGTTGTTGTGTGGTGGAAACTGGCTGACTGGAGGGTCAGCACCATCGAAAGGTGGTCGAAGGCAAAGTCCATTCTTTCACCCAATTTTGGGTCAATCGAATCAAGAGCCATGGACATTTCCCTTGTCCACACCAAATCTCCTGGATCTTTGTAGCAAAGTCATTATGGTTGACCATGCCGCAATTATTTCTAAACTTTACTCAAACATCCAGCTTCTGGTTCAGTGACACCTTCCATGTTGTGCGAGGAAGAATCAGTTCACCATGATACCTGCAACCAAGCTGGTCCAGTGAGGAACCCTCCACTTATCATCACTTGCCTGCGTATCTAAGGATCTTCAAGGCGCACTTGAAGTTAAACCTCAGTTCTGCTTCAGATGCACGTGCAGAAGCATGCCTGTGTTCCGTTGAACTGATAGGTTCCTGGATAGTGTCACAGATGGCTCCGTGAGACCACGAAGTATCTCTTGGTGCCAGATCCATACGTGATCCCACTTTGAGGACGTGGTTCTACTCGTGATCTCGTGATCTCGTGATATCACAAGCCCTTCAGACCGGACCTCAGAACTTGGCTCAAGGCCAGAGCTCAGACCATCCAGCAGTTGATGGCAACACTTGGAATCACACAGAAACTCAACCTATGGCCATGGCTAAGCTTAGCAGCTCAACGAGTTTAGGGTTTAGGGTTTGGGGTTTGGGGTTTAGGGTTTAGGGTTTAGGGTTAGGGTTTAGGGGGGTTGACCTAAACACCGCAGCTCCTTAGCTTCCCATGTCGCAGCACCAGCAGATTTTGGAGGAGACCCAAAAGCTGATCCAAGTGTTGAGGGACCCCAATGCCAGTGACTCGCAGAAGGCGGACACCGCCAGCAGCCTCCGCCTCTTGGTGGGGAGCGATGAAGCAAAGCAGCTGGCCGTGGAAAAGCAAGGTGCAGTTCCACCCTTGGTGACAAAATCCCCCTTGGGAATCATTTTCTATTTTTGTTTATATAACAACCCAAGAGGATCTTAAACATGTTGTATTTTTATTGAGGTTCTAAGGGGAGTAGAGGTGAAGCTGCTGAAGGAGGGATCTGATCGGGCCAAGAAGGAGGCGGCCAATGCTTTGTATGCCTTGTCTGGCAATAAGCAGCTGGCCCAGGCCATTGTAGCTGCTGGTGGAAAGGAGCCCCTGGTAGCCTTGGCTCGAGATTGCAGGGAAGATGATGATGTGAAGTGGGGCAGGACTCATGCTCTGAGAGCTATGCCGAATTTGCATAAGGCTGAGACAGCTGAGGCTGGCTCAGGCCCCAAGCAGTTCCAGGCTCAGGTGAAGGCTTTGGAGAGTGACAGCTCTGAAGAGCAGCGTAAAGCTGCCGAGCAGCTGGGAACCTGGGCTGCGTCATCCGATGAGAACCGCGTTGCCATTCACCACGCCGGTGGTGCTGAAGCACTGGTGGCTCTGGTGGTCACTGGCAGCGATGACGCCAAATGCCATGCTGCCAGAGCCCTCCGACATCTGGCCAACCATAAGGAGGCCAAAGAGAAGATCTTGAAAGCTGATGGCATCGCAGTACTGGCCCCCCTTGCAAAGCATGGGAAGGGGAAAGTTAAAGAGGCGGCCAGTGAGGCTCTCAACTTGCTTTCGATGGTCGCTGCCAAACCCAGCCCTGCTGCAGCTGCAACCTCGATTCCAACTGGTGAAGGAACACGCGTTGCGATGTTTTCGGCTAGGTTCGATGGAGGTCCAGTCGAGCAGACACCAGACATGCTTTAAGATGGTTTGATCTTTTCGGGGAAGATAGAAGGGGATAGGCCACCCCAAGCTAATGTCGAGTCAGCTATGTCATTTTCTGTCTATCCCGTTCTTCCTATTTGGCACCTTAAGGAACCAGGCCAAAAGATCCAAACTAAGGCTCTTCCGAAAGGTTTTCAAGATCCTTCAGGACAACAAGTACGACATCCTGATGGTGGCCGCGGACGCAGGGAAGAGCTTTGGGGATCTGACCGCCAAGTATCTTGGCCGTCTTCGCAGCGAACAAGGCACCATGATTGCTGTCTGTACCAAGCACTACGGGGAGATGACAGCGTCTTCGTATTCCTCACACGAGGAACTGAAGTTTGCGCTTGAGTACAAGAGTTCAATGACAGTACTGCCATTGCAGGTGGAAGATACTTACCCCCCAAAACCACCAGGTGGTCCAGATCACAAATTTGACAAGGAGAAGTTGGCCCAGGGCTACATTGATATGGTCTTTAGGCCAAGTGTTGTCAGATTGGACTGCCGCAACAGCTCCGGCCAACTGAAATCTGAGACAGACATAGCAGTGGATATCGCAAAGGAGCTACAGAAGTATAAACTTTAAAAGTGGTGACAGTTCGTGCCCAGGAGAGCATCAGATAGTCCCTTTGGGTATGGGTCATGGGTCAACCTTAGACACAATCAGTATTGATGAAGCGCAGTAGCAAAATACAGCGTGTGTTTGCGTTTTTTTGGGATGTTCAGCAAGGTATTAAGGCGAACTGACCCATGCCCACTTTTGAAGCTTGCGTTTTAAGTTTGTCATCACATAGCTGTCTCACTCTCTATTGTATGCACCCTTGTTTCGTCACCTGCAGCTTTTTAGGGCTTTCAGAGATGGAGGAAATGGTGCAAAAGGTTGAGTGTGCGTCTATGTGTGCAAGGAAGCCACTAGCCAATTACAACGGCCACCTTCCGCCGATATTTCGCCTAAAGCAGCTTTGTTTCAGCATGATGAGCCGAAAACAACCCTGAAGGCGGCAATGGCTAGCACAAACAAAGGCCCTAAAGCACCCGAACACATCTTCAAGCCTCTAGGGCCTATGATCTAATAGGGTCTAAGGACCCCTAAGCCCCCTGCCTCCCAAGCCCTTTGCTACCCTAAACCCTAAACCCTAAACCCTAAACCCTAAACCCTAAACTTCGCAGGCTCTGGCTGGGGCTTCCGATGTGGATGCTCTGCTCGCGCGGGGCTTCGCCAACCGAGCAACGGAGGGCACCCTCTGCCAGGGAACCCAGAGGGAATCCGGAGTTAGGGTTTAGGGTTTAGGGTTTAGGGGTTAGGGTTTAGGGTTTAGGGTTTAGGGTTTAGGGTTTAGGGTGTAGGGTGTAGGGTTTAGGGTGATTGCAAGATTAGAGGTTGAGCTTTGAGGGCTTTTGTGTTCATTTTCTTCATCGGGGTCATGAGGGCGTTTTACGGTCTATGGATAGGGTGATCGGGTTTTAGGGCACTGGGGGTTATAGGGTTTTTCTGGATAGAGGATTCGGGGCTTCCGAGAGCCGGCGAAGGTTTGTGGAGGTTTGCTTCGGGTTGAAGGGGTCTGGTTTCGAGACCGCGGGCTGAAAGGCTGAAGGCTGAAGGCTGTGGAGCTCTTTTTTTTTTTTGAGTTGTGAGTGTGGGCGGAAAGGAAGATTCTAGGGAGTTTAGGGTTTGGAGGTTTAGGGCGCGCAGCTTGGGGGTTTTAAGCTCGGATCTCCTGAGCCCTCAGCTCCACCCTAGACAGTCACAGGCCAGTGCACACCCGCCCCTTCAGGTAATGACAGCTCTTCGCGCTCCCACGTTGTGCTCACGGTGAAAGCACGAGCCTCAGGGAGCATGAAGGTGTGGCTTGGGGATTATAGGGGCTTATAAGTTTAGAGTTCAGGGTTCAGGTTTAGGCTTTTGGCCGGCTTACGGTCCCACTTTAGTTCCGGTCCTTGCGGCGCGATGAAAGGTTTGGTCTTTCCCACTACGCACTAAACCTTGTATGCCCTAAATCAGCACCAGCGTCCCAATGCCTCCAAAGTGCTGGCCAACCCCAGCGCGCTACCCTGCAAGCCTCAAAAGAGTAGGGTTTGGGGTCAGGGAGCAGCGCCTCCAGCCTCAAGCCCATGCGCCACCAACAATCCTGAACTAACCCCCAATCCCTGTCAATCTTGATGCCCTGAGCCCTGACAGCCAAAACCCTTAACCCTAAACGGCCCCAAGCCCAAGGCCCCAAAGCCCCAAAGCCCCAAAGCCCCAAACCCCCAAACCCCCAAACCCCCAAACCCCCAAACCCCCAAACCCCAAACTAGACCGAGGCCGTGGAACCAGGGCGCGGGCGCTTGGTGCTCGTAGACCTGGCGGGCTCCGAGAACGTCCAACGCAGCGGCGCTGACGAGGCAGGCTTAGGATTTTTTTGCCGGGGTTTGGTCCGGTTGGTTTCGTAGTTTGGTGGGGTGGGGGGGGGGGGGGTTTATAGGTTCATGGGTTATACATATTTGATAAGCAAGGATTTGTTGGGCTTCTCGGGTTCAGGGTCCCTAGGGTCCTGTAACACACGCAGGATGCCAAGCTGCTGGCGGAAGCCAAAGCCATCAACCGAAGTTTGAGCGCAGGGGCCTCAGGGGTGGGGTCCTTGCCCTTGCCCTTGGCGTTACGCCAAGGAATCATCGCAGGTTATTCCTACGTGTTGTGCTTAACTTTGGTTTCATAGCGGCTTATAGAGTGATTTGAGGTTCAGGGTTCAGGTTTCAGGTGTTATCGGTTTACTTGGGGCTTTCGAGCCTCGAGGTTTTGAGTGCTTAGGGTGGGCAAAGTGTCAGGGCTTCGGGCTCCTGATATGATCCTTAAATCCCCAGGCCCAAAGCCAGCTCAAGAGCACGAACCATCTAACATTCATGCGCTGCGGCTTAACTCCCAAGACCCTGAGCCCCAAGACCAGCAGACCTAAATCCCGATCTTGCCGTACGTGTGAAGCACAAAGTGCTAAGCCTGAATTAAACTCTTCCAGCCCTACAATGCACCCCAAGGCAGTACTTGTAGCATATTGACAAACGAAGCCCCTGCACGCCACGAGAGAGAACCAAGGCCCTGGCGGATGTGGTCGAGGCCACGGCAAAGCAGCAGCCTGCCAGCCATGTTTTGCTGATTCGCGGCGAAAAGTTCGGTTTGTAATTTGGGGGTTTCCGATATTGTTATTATTTGGGGGACCACATTTAGGGCTCCCCTATTTTTGTAAACCTCGATTTTGGACAATGTTTGTCACAGCCTGCTGAGCTCACGTTGGAGGCAGCTCCCTTGCAGCCAGGAACTTCGTTCCCTACCGCAACTCGCGCTTGACCATGCTGCCCGGGTCCCCGGAGCTTTCGGTGTTTAGGCTTCACACGGTATGGGGTTTATAAGGTTCGCTCAGTTTTAGGATCAGAGGGGTGGCCACTTCGGGAACAGACTTATAGGTCTGTTTGTTCAATACTGCGGGCCTCCCTGGCAATCCAGAGTGCCGGCTGAACTCCGCCCCATTGTTACAAAGTTTCAGGTTGAAGCCCGTGGTTTGGCAATCAGCTTTTGAAATCTCAGCCCTTTGTCCTAGTCATATCTTTTCTGTGGTTGTGGCCTGAACCCACAACCCTTAACACCATGAGCCCAACTGTCAAGGTTGGAGGACGCACTCTGCATGTCCCGTGTCCTGCTGCTCGTTCACGTGAGCCCCTTCGCCCGGGACGCCACGGACACAGCCGTGCCCCAAGCACCGGACCACCCCTAAACACCCCGGAAGCCCTCAGCCCCAAGCCGTAAATGCTGGAGCCTCAAACTTCAGAGTTCACAGATTCGGGGTTAAGCAAGCAGGAGACCTTGTAGGCTAGCTTTTGAAGCCCTCTTCTGCACCCACCTACCCCACTCCCTCCCAAGCCCAGGCGCTTAGGATCTGGGGAATCCTTAGAGCTAAGTTCAGCCAAGGGCTCCCCCAGCAGCATCCGCCTCTTTAAAGGGTTTCGGGGTTTCGGGTTGAGGAGCCCATACAAGCTCCCGTTAACCCCCCCCCCCCCCGCCCCTGCCCAAAAAAAGAAATGCAAAAGGGGGGGGGGCCTTCTTATTTCTAGGTTGCTTGGCAACCTAAACGCTACAAATCCCATGAATTCGGAAAAAGTTTTTTGAACCCCCAAGAACACTAAAAGTTTTTCGAACCCCTACGAACACTACGACCCAAGAACCCTAACAACCCTTGAGAGCCTGATGGGACTTATGGGCCCGAAGGCACTTTGAGTCCGTGAGGCCCACTCCCTGACCTTTGCTAGCCGGGTGCGTGCCGTGGACTTTGGGGCCCAACGACTGCGGCAGGCGCCTGCAGTAAGGGCATTCATGAGGGTTTGGGGTTTATGAGGTAGAGGGTTTAGATGGCTCAGAGGCTTTGATTTAGAGGGTTTTTAGGTTTAGAGGGTTTGCAGGGTTTTTAGGGTTTAGAGGGGTTAGAGTTTTTGTTTGTTTTTTTTGGGGTTTTTGGGATTCTTGGGGTCTTAAAGGGTTTTTAGGTATATCTAGGGTTTTTATGGCTTTAGGGTTTAGGGTTTAGAGGGCTTAGGGTTTAGGAGGGCTCCAAGGATACAAATGCCTGTTATCACGGTTGGGTTCAGCATTGACTAAGCGAGCTAAACCCTAAACCCTAAACCCTAAACCCTAAACCCTAAACCCTAAACCCTAAACCCTAAACCCTGAACCCTAAACCCTAAACCCTAAACCCTAAACCCTAAACAACACATGCAGGACCAAGAGGATCGTGCGCGGGCGGCGCAGATCCGAAGCCAACAGGAGGCAGAGTCCTTGTTCATGCTGCCTAAGGTTAGCCGGAGATGGCTTGGGTTCAGGGCTCAGCGTTTTTAGAATCTTGGGTTGAGGGTGTAGGGTTCAAGGCTTATAGGGTTCATGTTTTTTTTTCTCAGGATTTCGGGTTTATGGAGTTCAGGATTTATAGGCTTTGAGTTGTTTTCTCAGCTCTAGAGTCCGCTTCCTGCATTCGCTGAATTGTACTTTGGTGGGATGGGAGCACAGATTTTGTCATGGCCGAGGATATGTCCGGGAGCTCTTGCAGTTTAGTGTGCCCTTTTTGTAAGGGCCTGTTTATAATGGGCCGCCCCCAAAATAGGCAACCGGCCATGTCTGTTTTGTCATTGTCAGCCTCGGATTAGGATGACAGCGCTGGTCTCTCTCTCTCTCTCTCTCTTCCTATCTCTCTCGCTCTCTGCCTTCGCGCCGCTGCAAAGACAAGGGCGGCACTCAGAGGTTATGGGTTCCTGGGACAAACAGACATTTTTGCCGTTGCTGGTTGTATTTGCTTGAGGTTTGTGGTCTGTCGCAGAGTTCAGCGTGTCAATCGGTAATAATTATTACTCCTGTACTTTATGGATTGCTCCAGTCTGTTGAAAGTTGCGCAATCCCCATACCCCCTCTCCCCCCACACGCACACACTCTACAAAAAACAACCGAGACAACACCCAAACTCAACAACGCCAGGCCTCTAGGGTTTCGGTTTAGGGTTTAGGGTTTAGGGTTTAGGGTTTAGGGTTTAGGGTTTAGGGTTTAGGGTTTAGGGTTTAGGGTTTAGGGTTTAGGGTTTAGGGTTTAGGGTTTAGGGTTTAGAGTTCAGGGTTTAGGGTTTAGGCTAATTACACTTACACCCTAGACTGCCCTCAGCTCTGTACCCTAAACCCCCAAAACATGTTCAGGCGCGCCAGCTGCAACAGCAGCCCGAGTCTCGAAGCTCACCGAGGGGAGGAGGGAGGATGGACCTGCGCGGAAAGCAACTACTTCTATTTGCTTAAGAACCCCCCCCCCTCGGACCCCCCGCCCCCCCAAAAAAAAGAAAGATATTCTTCCTTCTCAGGGCAATGTAGGGACTATTATGTATGTTTTTTTTGGGGGGGTTCTTTAAGCAAATGGTAGACTAGGGTGTAGGGTTGTAAAGATGTGTAGGGCCTTAGGGGGTTGAAGAGGCCGAAAGAGCCTATAGAGGATTCTGACACTTTGGGGGGTGTATAGGGCTTGAGGGTTTAAGGCTCCCTCCTCCACAAGCCTTGGTTTTTTTGGTCACGTCCTCTGTGCCCTAAACCCTAAACCCTAAACCCTAAACCCTAAACCCTAAACCCTAAACCCAAAACCCTGGCCTCAGGCTGGACCAAGTCAAGAGAGAGCTCACCGACTCGCAGAAAGCAGCGGCCTCGGAGGTTTAGTGGGTCGGGGTTGTTTTCGCAATGAACCCCATGAACCCCATGAACCCATATAAACCCTGTAAACCCTAAAAACCCCAAACCCTTACAAACCAGCAAGCCTAGGCTGACCCGACTCCAGCCAGGCCCTAAACCTTCAGAACTTCATGTCCTGAGCCATGTCCCCCTAAACCCGCACCCTGAAGCCGGAAGCCCGAAGTCTCTAAAACCCACCCCCACCCCCCCCCCCCGCTCTCTTCCCTAAGAAGCAGCCCTTCCTTGCTCTCATCCCTGTGGCCCCACTCAGATATTTTGTAAGGTCAGAGAGTCTTAGAGTCATGACCACGCGGGGTGCCATGTGAAGTGCCTGTCTGGCTTGCAGCTTGCATTTCAATCCCAGCCGCAAGCCCTCCCCCCCCTAGAACAGACATACACACACACACACAACTCAACCTTAAACTAAGCCAAGCCTTGTCCCGAAGACCACATGAGGCACAATCTGAGCTCAAGCAACAGGCGCGCGACTTTGGAGCTTCTGAAGCCCTTGCTGCGTCTTTAAGGGTTCAAGGTTCATAGGGTTGGTGGTTGAGGGTTGTGCTTCGGATTCTGGTGCGTTTCAGGTGTCGGATCTCAGGTTGAAGGTAAGAATCCCGGACAGTTTGAGATTCCGTCAGGTTCGCGTCTTGAGTTGCCTGCATATGACCTCAAGCCCTATCAACCCCAACTCTGCAATGGTAATGCGACTTGCCGCTCCACAAGACCCGACGTCCGAAACCCGGAGCAACACCGACAGCCCTGGCTCGTTGGACTCGCAAAGTCTGAGGTGGACCACAGGCTAAATGCCGAGGTCCTGAAATGAAGTCCCTCGACCCTAGAGCTATACAGAGTTTTCCTCAACATCCTGGTTGCGCAGAATCCGAGGCCATCGAGTCCCAATTCAGCTTTCTGAGGCAAGCCCGAAAGCCTCAACCCTGAAGCCACTCGAGATTGAGTTAGGGTTCCTCTACTGAGATTAAGCACCTGAGCAAAAGGCCGTAGCTGCCACTCGAGAATCCGAATCCGTTTCCAACATGTGCCCTAAGCACTAAACCCTAGACCCTAACCCTAAATCCTAAAACCCTAGACCCTAAATCCGAAACCCGAAATCCGAAACCCTAAACCCTAGACCAAAATCCCTACAACCCTGGAACCCTAAACCCCTGAACCAAATATGTTGCCGGTGGCACAGCAGGTCTCACATCTCGGGGAGCAGCTGCGCGAGAGGCAGCGCGAGCTCACACGGGAGCAGGTCGGCCCGAAACCCCTAAACAACCCAAAATTCTCATAGCCCCCAAACTCCAACAGCCCTAGAATACCCTTGTTAACTCCCTCTCCTAAATCCTGAATTGAGCCTGAAACCCCTACACCCTTATAAACCCTTAAACCCTTGAACCCTTGCAAGCCCTTTAAACTCGTATAAGCCCTTGCAAGCCCCCAAGAGTCCCCAAAACCCTAAACCCTAAACGCTAAACCCTAAACCCTAAACCCTAAACCCTAAACCCTAAACCCTAAACCCTAAACCCTAAACCCTAAACCCAAAACCCAAAACCCTAACAGTTCTTCGCAGAAACCGAGGAGCTGCGCTCGCGGGCTGAGGAGAGCGCCCGGGAGATGCGCCTCGCGGGCCGCAGCGACAGCCTCGCCGCGGGGGCGCCAGGCGGGCTTTAAGGGCTTTGTTGGGGTTTGGGAGTGCTTTTGCTACCTAAACCCTAAACCCTAAACCCTAAACCCTAAACCCCAAACCCCAAACCCCAAACCCTAAACCCTAAACCCTAAAGTTTTGGGGCTGGTGTGGTTTTGATTTGGGTTGTTGTTTGTTTTTTTGCCAAAACCCCAAGCCCCCAAACCCTGAACTCCAGTCATCTGCTTGGAGGCCTTAGTAAGGGGCTGGGTAGGTAACCTGTAGCCTTTTTGGTGATATAGAATCCTACTATATATACAAGGTTAAGGGAATTCAGCTTAAGATGTCCCCTTATACTAACCGTCCTTGATGAGGACTATGATAGGGGGTACTACATTCCCGATTAAGGACTGTTAGTATAAGGGGCAACATCCCAATATTCAGCCCCTAAACCCTAAACCCTAAACCCTAAACCCTAAACCCTAAACCCTAAACCCTAAACCCTAAACCCTAAACCCTAAACCCTAAACCCTAAACCCTAAACCCTAAACCCTAAACCCCCAAGAGGCCGGCCCAGCAGCCCCATGTCCCGGAGCAACTCGGCCCCGCGGCTCGGGCCAGCGAAGCCTCGGGCGCCCCTGGGGGCCAAGGCCTCCACAGAGCTGCGAGGCCGGGAACCTCCTAAGACTCTTCAGGGTTTAGGGTTTAGGGTTTGGGGTTTAGGGTTTAGGGTTTTAGGGTTTAGGGTTTAGGGTTTAGGGTTTAGGGCTTAGGGCTTAGGGCTTAGCTCCCCTTAAGGGTTTCGGGTTTTGGGGTTTAATAGGGTTGAGGGTTTAGGGTTTAGGGTTTAGGGTTTGGGGTATAGGGTTTAGGGTTTAGGGTTGGTGCGAACGGTCTTGCAGACGATCCTGGAGCATCAACATGGGGATCTTTGCAAGGGAGGAATTTTGAGGGTTCAGGGTCTATAGGTTCTATTGGGTTAGGGGTTTTCGGGTATGTTTCGGGCTTAGGGTTCAAAGTATAGGGTTTAAGAATGTTTAGGGTATAGGTTTTAGAATTTGGGGTTTAAGATTCAGAGATCAGTAGAAGGGCGTAGAGGATCCAATATACGGCTTTGTTTCTTGCCCTTCGGGCCTGGGTTTGGCGCGCACGCAGTGGGGCTGCAGTCTTAACCTCAACCCCACACTGCAAGCACAAGCACATCGAATCTTCAGACTCTGCACCCTGAACCCTAGACCCGAATCCCTCAGCCCCTAACCTGAAGCCTGAAGCCTTAACCCTGACCCGCTGAGCCTTGCACCACACTGAGCCCCGAGGCACAGCGCCAACCCGACAGCGGCCACAGCCGGCGCTGAACAGGGGCTTCCTGGAAGAAGAGTTTGAGGCACTCTCGGTTGAGGACTACTGATGACTACTATCGATGGGAAAACACCTTCCGCTTCTCTACTAGATACCAGTTTCTCTCCTTGTTTCTCGGAGCTCTGCCGGCCGTAGAGCCGTGGAGTTTTAGGTGGCCAGAGTTATTGCAGCTATTGGGCTCAGGGCTCGGGGTTTGCTTTAGGGTCACAGGGTTTTTAGGGTTTTGGCTTTTGGGTTTGGATGGGAATTGGGATCCTTGGGCTTACGAACTTGGGATTGGGCTCAGAAGAGTAACGGTTGGCTTAGGGTTTAGGGTTTAGGGTTTAGGGCGTGCCGCCGTGTAAGGCTGCGACATTCAAGTTGACAGGGGTAGGTCTGAATATAATTTCAAATTTCTGTTCCCCTAAATTAATCCCTATATAGTCCTTGCAAAGTTATAAGAAGTCAGCTGTTATAGGGCCCCCAAGCCTACCCAAGTTGAGGGTTTCGGGTGTCGGCTTCAGACTGTCTGGCTCATTAGCTTGGGCTCATGGAGGTGCTGATCTTGCCCTTCATAGCTCCCATCAAGTCCCCCTGAAGAGCATGTCCCTCAATCCCGGCCTTCCAGCGCCCCTGCAGTCTGAAGCCATGGGCTGCCATCGGAGCTCTACGCCATCCAAACATGACACCCCAGAACCTAACCCAAAGTCCTAAAGCCCTGAAGCCCCCCAGCCCTGAACCCTAAACCCTAAACCCCAAACCCTAAACCCTAAACCCTGAACCTTGAACCCTCACAAAGCTCCCGAAAACATGAAACGTGTTGTGGGAGGCTCTGGATTCCGTGTCGCCCTCCAAAGCACAGACGGGGGACTTGCCACCGAGGCGCGGGGTTAGCACCTGACGGAATTCCCTCATTCCCTACTCAGCGCCAGGTCCCTTAGTCCATCGAGTGTTTCAAGGTTGTGGGGAGGCACCACCCTTTCGGAGGGTTTGAGGAGGTTGTTGTTTCCATGGCCGGCAAGGAGGAGCCTGCCCGTGTGCCGACTGTCATCTGAGAATCTCATCAGGATCAAGAAGCTCCCCCGAGGCTCCGGTACTTCCGAAACGCCTCCATAGATCCCCATAGCTGGGTCGCTCGCCATGGGGTGTAGTGGGAGCTGTAGCCGCGCAGTGGAGCCAGCCGGTGGCACCTCGGTGTTCTACGTGCCGAAGACCTTCCCAACGCCTCCGAAGGAGAACCTCGAGCCAAACAGCTCCACCCACCAGTTCTACGTCCGGCAGCTGAACAGCTACCTGATCAATGTCGCCAAGAGTCCACACGCCTTCCAGGTGCAGGTGGAGAGGCGCCGCCAGGCACGCTTTGGGGAGCCATGGGCTGAGGGCAACGTGCCGGACATGCCTGTGCAACCTCGCGATTCACAGGCATGGCGTGTCACGCTCTTGTGAGCCCTGCTTGTTGCGCATCCTGTCTTGAGCCGCTCAGGATTGCATGATCGGCTGGGGCGAGTATGAATGTAGTTTGCGCAGCTGCAGGGCAGCGCTTGGCGTGGCCGCAGCAACGTACTTAGACGTGACTTCTTTTTTAACCCTCCGGGGCAGACCGACCCTTCAAGGTCCGGAGCCACCCCTTTGCGGAGCACACTTTGATTTGCTTTCATTGTTATCCCATGGCGAAGGCCGTCTGGGGCAGAACCGCTTTCTAGTCCATGTCGAGGTCTGACGGTGTTGAGCCTGTTCTGGCCCGCATTTTCCAAGTACAAAAGTTGCAGCTAAAGCCACGTAAAGCTCTTTATAAGACCTAGTCTTTTTGGCTTGTGCGGTTATCTGGCAGAGTCCGCTTGGCTGCTACCTGGACATTCGGACATCGACTTGACGTTGGGTTTGCTGTTGTCGTATCAGCCAAGTGAACTTTGACATCTTCTTCCGCACCGAACTTTCCATGGTGTCTCCAGCGCTTTCCTTTCGGAAAAAGTCTCGCGACCCGACCCATTTTCCATGCACAGCAGTTGCAGCTAAAGCCACGTAAAGCTCTGTGTAGGACCCAGTTTTTTTGTTTGTGCGGTTATCCGGCAGGGTTCACTTGGCTGCTACCTGGACATTCGGGCATCGACTTGACGTTGGCTTTGTTGTCGTATCAGCCAAGGGGACTTTGACATCTCCTTCCGCACCGACCTTGTATATGGGATCTCCAGCGCTTTCCGTGCAGCGTCGGAAAACATCTCGCGACCCGACCCCCTCCAGCCCTAAACTCTCCTGTAAGACGGCAGCTATCCCTGAGATCTTGCCGGCGGCGCGAAGCCGGAGTAGCTCCGATGCCCTCTAAAGCTCATACCCTGAATCCTGAACCCCTATACCCTAGAATCCTAGAAACGCTATCAGCCCCTGCAAAGACCCTAGAAACCCCATATACCCCAAAACCCCGAAACGCTCTGTAAACCCGATTGTGAGCCCCAAAAAGCCTGCACACCCTGTACGCCCTGCAAACCCTACGAGACACCGACAGGCCCCACAAATTTCAGAAAGACAGCAGGGGTTTGGGAGTCTTGGGTTTAGGAATGTCAAGTTTCGAGTTTATAGTTGTTTCTTGTTTTTGGGGGTGAAGAGAGGGCCTGGGCTACTTAGGGTTTGGGATTTAGGATCTGCAGGGTTTGGGGGGGAGGGGGCGTTTGAACCCTAAACCCTCAGACGGTGGCTGATCTAAATCATAAGTGAGTTCCATCTATTGCAGATGGCCTCCCAATGAGCGTAAGCCGAAATCGAGCTTGGGGCCTTCCAGGAAGCCCTTCCTGGATCGAACCAATGAGAATGACGTGGCCGACGCCGTGAGCCCGGCCACGAAGATCCTGCTGTCACCGGCCAAGGCGGCGGGAAAAAAAAATGAAGGGCGGTTCGAGAGGGTTGGGCTTCGGGGGCTGTTGGGGCTTGATGGTTGACGGATGTTTGTTTAGGGCCGGTGCTTGGAGGTTGGCTGAGGTGGAGCATGTGGATTGCCGAGCCATATGGCGCCAAAGCCAAAGCTGAAGACAAACGGAAGATGGCCCAAAGACCTCAAGCCCTGAACAGAGCCACAACTTCGACTTCAACGGCCCCAAGCCCTAAAAGCAAAGCCCTAACAGTCCCAAAAAACCCTGAATGCCCTAAAGCTTTAACTCAACCCTTACTGAACCTAAGAAGTTCTCCAAACCTGAAGCCTCAGCTTACCGCATGCAGATGGAGTTCACAAGCCCCACCAAGCCGATCAAAGACTTCGCGCACACCCTGGCGCCTCATCGGACAATGTGAGGTCAATGCGGGCTCACTGTAAACCAGTATACATTGGGATGTTCCCCCTTATGGCAACAGTCCATACTAGGGTTTGTACCGCCCTACTAGAATCCCTATTAAGGACTGTTAGTATAAGGGGGACACATCCCACAGCATACCCCCCAAAACCCCACACTCCATTAAACCTTCGGCTTCGGGGGGTCCTTTAGCTATGAGGAGTGGTTTAGGGTTTAGGGTTTAGGGTTTAGGGTTTAGGGCCCCCATGGTAGCCGCTAGCCCGCGCCGAGACTTTGCAGCCCCGGTGAGAGCTGGGATCAGGGATGCGGCTGGCATGCCGGTTTGAATGGTGCTGCTTGAACCGATGTAAAATCAGGTAAAGGGTTTAGGGTTGAGGGTAGGGTTTAGGGTTTAGGGCTAGGCGCCGCACCACGATAAGCCCTGCAAAAACCAACCTAAACCCAAAGAAAACCCACCAAAACCAACAAAAGCCTCGGCTTTCCCTGGATGGGGGGGGGGGGGTGTGGACAGACTGTTCACGTGAAGGTGTATGTTGCAGCACTGAAATCGCAAGGCTGAGGATTTTTTCACCACGAGCTCGATCTTGCAAAATGGCAATATGTGCACTGCACCCGTCCACCCAGTCCTATGGCAATTCCCATTCTTGCGAATGGCCAATCCCAACCCAAATTCTACGTTTACTACGAAAATCTCAACGCACCCCTCGAAAATCCCAACACATGCTAAAATAAACCCAACAGATCCTAAAAATCCCAACGTTTTCCCACTTTCTGGCCGGGCTCCGAATCTCAACCCTTGGAAAAAGGGTTAGGGTTTAGGGTTTAGGGTTTAGGGTTTAGGTAAACCCTCTGGCATGTTTTACTTGCTTTTGTCTATAAGAGCGTTTGGGGAAGGGAATGCCGCGGTTGCTTTCCAAGACGGTTTGAGGCAGAGCCACAGAAAGCCTTGAGTAACACCGACAGAACATGACATCATCACATGATGCCCTGCATGCACAAGTCAGTACCTCGATTTTCGAACTGAACATCGTAAAGGTTGTTGGCAGGGAAATTGTTGGCGAAAAAGTCAGGTTTTCAAGAGGAGTTGGGTTGAAGAACCATGGTTTAAAGATGCTTAAAGCAGTATGCACCCGGCAGAAAGGATCAGAGATCGTGCGTCGCAGAGCTCGTGCGCTTAATAGTGTTTGTGCGGGTGGGCGGGCAGCCTCCGCCTCCTTCTCGTCCTCTCACCCGTCTGTCGCCTTTCTTTCGTTTTGAAACCCTGCTTTGCATGGCAAGAAAAGACAGACATGAGGGACAACCCCTTTGATTGAGTAAGTGCGGAAGGTTTTGGGGATCAGGGCTCTTTTGGGGAGCACCACGATCGCCTCGCTAAGGGTACTCCGACACGAGGCTCTCTCATGACGCCGGAAGCTGGGCAGCAAGCAGCATCTAATGTGCAGCCCTCTAGGCTCAACTTTCTAAAGCTCCCTCCGAAATAAGCCTTACACCCGAAGCCCGGGTCCGAAAACCCCAAGCCACTGAACTGTACTCAGATACCACAGCCGCTGCTTCTCTGCACAGGCAGGAGTCCAAAATGCCTCCAAATCCTGAACTAAGCCCCAACGCTTGGCAAGCTCAACAGTGCTGGAAATCCGTAGCTTTGAAATGTGGCGCGAGAAATTTGGGGGTTTAGGGCCGCAGCGGGCCGCAAGGGATATAAGGATGGGGGACAGGGGGCGTGGTGAAGGCTTGCGGTTCTGGTTTACAGCTTGTGGGGGAGTTTTGAGGCTTTTTTGAGATGTTGGGGCCGCTTCTATAAGAGCTTCAAGGTGTAGGGACCCCAAACCCTGAACCCTGACTGAACCCCAAACCCCAAACCCCAAACCCTAAACCCTAAACCCCAAACCCTAAACCCTAAACCCTAAACCCTAATTTAGGGTTTTCAAGGGCGGCATCCCGCAATCCGAGGAAAGGCCATCGACTCTGAGCCCGTACGGAAATGCCGAGGCACAGCCGGATCTCAAACTTCCGAGGGTCGCTGAGGGTTTAGGGTATTTCTTCAGGTTCGGGTTTAGGGTTTTGGGTTTGGGGTTTGGGGTTTAGGGTTTGGGGTTTGGGGTTTGGGGTTTAGGGCTAGGATCAGGGTTGAGGGTTTAGGGTTTAGGATCAGGGTTTAGGGGCTCCCTAAACCCCAAGAAAAGCCCTAAATCCCTGGCGACCATAGAGGCCCTAAACCCTAAACGACTTAATAAACCAAGCCCTAAAGCCTCAGGGGGCTGCCCTCAAGGGATTTCAGAGAGCTTACAGGGTTTTGGGGTTGGGACTCGTTGGGTTTGCAAATTTAGGGTTTAGGGGTTATGGTTTGGAATGTGGACTTGCGGACCTGGGAGCTTCGATTGGTTTAGGGCTTAAGAATAATTATGTCCTCGTCTGTCTTGCCCTTGCGAGCAAATTCCTCCGGAACTGCAGCAAAGGGCAGCCTCACCTATGGCATTCCAAGCAATTGCCTCGAGAGCTGAAGATCGATCGCTGATGAAAGGCACCCGGTCCAGCCAGATGCCTCTCAAAAGCGGCTGTGTGCCAAAAAATCTGGCACGAACTGAAGATGAGCTCCAAATCAGGTCTGATGGCTAAAACCTGTTGCTGCATCTGCAGCAACTGCTGAGCTGTGTTGACCTTCAGAATGAAATGCAGCAGCTTGTGGGCTTGGGTCTTGAGGCGGACGGGCGTCTGCCTGAGTCATCGGAGGCTTGCAGGGCTAACGCCTGAAAGCCCCAACCTTTCAAAGCCCAAGACCACTTCGTCCACATAGACTCTGAACTCAACCTAGACCCTAAGCCCTAAACCCTAAACCCTCAACCCTAAACCCTAAACCCTAAACCCTAAACCCTAAACCCTAAACCCTAAACCCTAAACCCTAAAGCGCGAAGCCCTGAAGCCTAAGCCGCCCCCCGGCTTGCAACACCAGACCTTTTTTCAACATCACCAAGGAGACTTAAACCTAAAACTCGAAGACCCTGGACCCCAGACGCTAAATTTACGCCCTAAACCCCAACCCCAAAACCCCAAACCCTTGAAGCCTAGAGTAAACCCCTAAACCCCAAGCCGAAAGAGCCCAAACCCCCAAACACAACAAGCACAGGCGCCCAACACTGGTGCGGCGGCCGAAGGCAAAACCAAGAGCCCCGTGAAGGCCAGGAAGCTCTTGGGGTCTTAGGGTGTGTAGGGTTGAGGGTTTATGGTGTAGGAATCAAGGTTCAGGGTTTAGGGTTAGATATTGGGGTGAGATATGAGGTGCGGTTCTAAACCTAGTGTTTCTTGTCCCTCCATTTTGGGGCTCTTGGGTTTGGGTACGGGCCCCAAGTAAACGAAAGGTATTTGGCGACCGCGAAACTCGGCACTCCTATCCACTGCCGTAGCAGAGAACCCTGGTTTTAGTCTTTGAGGTGATGATTGAAAGTGTGCTCTATACCCCATCTACTATGAACTCCTCTTTCTCTAGACCCCTCCAAACCTTCCGCCCTCACCCACCTCAACCTCCTCAACCCAGAAGACACGAACCCCTACACCTCAGGCTCTGCAGTACCATGGCGCCCAGGCTCGCCCTCGCTTTTCTTGGGATTAGAAAGGACTCATGGCTTTTGAAGGGTTCCATTTTTGTTTTGTGGTGCCGATGGCAGGGTGGAAGTTTTACGTGACTACTCAGGGCTTAGGCTGAATTAGGCTTTAGGGTTTAGGGTGCGGACCACCGACAGCAACATCTCAACGCGGACAGCTGACCCAAGCAACGCCAGCACCTCCTAAACCCGAAACCCTAACCCTAACCCTAAGCCCCGAATTAGTTCCCTCAGCTTGTGTTTACATGTCCATGCCTAGAGCCTTGCGCTTGCGACAGGTGCGTCCCGTACTTAAGAAGCTGCCGACCGATTTCAAGACCCGCCTCCTGAAGAAGCAGGATTCATGTGGTCAGTTCTCTAAATTAATTATTGTCCTTTTCTCAGGTACCCTAAACAAGAGGGGCCGCCTTATGATAAGATGGCACCATCATTTCGAGTAGCCAGGGTTTATAGGGATTAGCTTCAGGGATGTGGCACTCAGGGGCTTATGGTTCGAAGCCTGCTCCTGGCCGCCTAGCACACATAGCCACGAGCCCCAAACTCGCAGCCCCTAAGCCCTACGCCCTCGAGGCCCCAAGCCTCAGAAGCCTGAACCTTTGCACCCTGAACACCTGAGCCCCTCAACCTTCATAGAGCCCTGCTACCCTGATGGGCCCCTTTCCCTCTTCTGAGATTCGTGTCTGTGTTGGTAGGGTTCTGGGTATATGGGGTTTAGGGTGGGGTTCAGGGCCTATGGGGTTTACGGTTGGGCTTGCCAGACCCCCCTACAGCCCGAGACCCCTTTTCACGCAAAGAACCTGCCTCCGCAGAAAAGGAGCTTGGGGCGGCCTTCACCACGACAGGCAAGCACGTGACCTTCGCGGAGCAGGTGGGGGTCAAGGGCCGACTCCCGACCCCAACCAAGACAAACCTGCACCCCAGAATCAACGATTTAGGACATGCCAATATTCTACCCTTCTCTCAGGGTATGTATGGTTACTTCAGGAAAACCCTCACGCGGCTCCGCAAGATCGAAGACTCTTGGTGCAACCCCGGTCGGAGTTTACCGTCTAGTTGTGGTAGTTTACACGGCAGCCCAGATCTGGTGGTGGATCAACTGTCCAGTGCAATCTTCGGTTTGCATCTTGCGAGGGTGTGGTTGCAGAGCTATCCAAAAGTAGCCTACCGGAATTCAAGGTCCCACCCCTAAACCTTTAGGATCTTAAGCTCCTGTAGGCCGCTCCCCAAAAGAAGACTGCTTCCAGGAGCAAACGGCCTGTTCACCCCCGAGGTGCCACCCCTTGAAGGGGGCACTGGGGGTTGGGGTTTAGGGTTTAGGGTTTAGGGTTTAGGGGTTAGGGTTTAGGGTTTAGGGTTTAGGGTTGAGGGTTTAGGGTTTAGTGTTCAGAGTTTTTTGGAGTTTGGGAGCCCAGGGGCGGGACTGGGGTAAGCGGATTGCAGGGGTTAAGGCTCGGGCTCGGAGGTTTTAGGGTTAAGGGCTTTGTTTAGGGACTCAGGGCTGTAACCCTGAACTCCTAAACGTCCTAAACCCTACGCCTCTACGCTCTAAACCCAAAACCCCAAACTCCGAAAACCCCAACGCTAAAGTGCTGAAAAGAGTTCCTCTGACTCCTCAACTTCCGAAAGCTAGGGCAGATGGGGCTGGAGCACCCTATGGGAGGCCCCGAAAAGGGGGAGATGTAGGGCCAATGTAGGGCTACCCAATTTCCTGAGTTCCCGACCTTACAAACCTGAAAGCCCTGAACAGCATGAATCTGCAAGTGCCTCAGGTGGTACCTCGACCTGCTCGAGTATGAGCAGTCCTGTAGACAGGTGACCAAGGGATGTAGGGTTTTGGGCTTCGTTTTTTAGGTAGAACCGTAGTTCTTGTGTGTGCGAACCCAAATTGAGGTTCTAGGGTTCAGGGTGTCCGGTGTAACACCCCCGCAAGTAATTACCCTTTACTCGTACGAAGAATACCTCCCCCCCCCCCCGCCGGTTAGGTTTTCTTAGGGGCCCACTTCGTGTACACCTAAACCCAAAAACCGCCTCCGACGAGTGGAGTTAGGGTTGGGAGGTTACGGCCAGCCAGCTTAAAACCCTGCATGTTGAGCTAGAAATCAGGCGCACACACACACACACAAAGAGCAGCCCTCAAGCCCGACATCACCACGCCTTGTCAGGGTTAAGGTTGTACAAGATCCACCCTGAAGAGCCGAGACCCCGAACCACATTCCAAGCCCGGGACCCTGAACACTCAACAGCAAGGCAATGCCAGGTGCTCGAAGATATTCTTGGTCAGTGTGTTACCCAATCCTGTTGAGGGTAGGAGGGGGAGTTGGATACTCTGGTGAAGGGAAACCCAAGCCCCCTAAAGCCCAAACCAACCCAAACTCCTCCCCTTTATCCCCCTTCCCTCCCCCCCCCCCCCCCCAAAAAAAACAAAAAACAGCAACCTTAAACCCTAAACCCTAAACCCTAAACCCTAAACCCTAAACCCTAAACCCTAAACCCTAAACCCTAAACCCTAAACCCTAAACCCTAAACCCTAAAACCTAAACCCTAAACCCTAAACCCTAAACCCTAAACCAGCCCCACTCCCTCGACCAACGTCCCCGACCAAACCCGCTGCAGGCGGAGTCCAAACCCGAGGCGGCCAAATCGCCCCGAGGGAGGTCCCTGACCCCTCCACAGCGCCGTCGCCCTGAGGCGCGGACGTATTTGGCGTTCAGGGTTTAGGGTTCAGGGTTCAGGGTTTGGGGTTTAGGGTTTAGGGTTCATAGGGTTTGGGGTTTGGGGTTTAGTAAACAGTTATTAGGGTTTAGGGGCTTTAAGGGGCTTTAGGGCGCTTTAGGGGGCTGTGGGGTCTGTGTGGGGCTTTGGGGAGTTTACGGTTTTAGGGTTTGGGAATGAGTAGCAAGCCGAAACCTTACAGGGTTTGAGTTTTAGGGTTCAGGGTTTGTGGTTTGGGACATCTACAAGGCCCATGAAGAGCCCCCCTCTTCCGGCTGGTTCTCAGTAGGTTATTGAGGGAGTGAGGTACCAAGGGATTAAAGGGTATTTTTCGGGCCCGAATTCCCTCATTCCCTACTAAGAACCCTAAATCCTAAGCCCCTAAACCCTAAACCCTAAACCCTAAACCCCAAACCCTAAACCCTAAACCCTAAACCCTAAACCCTACACCCTACACCCTACACCCTAAACCCTAAGCACCAGGGGGCCCCCTCTTCCCGGCAGGTCCAGGTGGAAACTCCCCGCTGGCGGCGCTGACTTGTCCTAGGCCCTCTTTGGGCCCAGAGACCTCCCCAAAACCCCCAAAATTCCCCAAGACCCCCCTCCACCACCCCCCCACCCCCCCCCCCCAAAACAAAAAAAAAAAACTAAAAACCCCACCCCCCCCCCCCCCCCCCACCACAACCCCAACCCCTCTCTTGCTGGCCCAACAATGGTTTGCTTATGGATGTTAAAGCCCAGGGGGTTCGTCACATCCCCCAGCAAACTGGGGACCCGGCATCTGCTTCAGCAGGTCCGACAGAAGACGGCCCGTTTGAAAAGGGAGGCTACTCTTGATTGCTCCACGTTTGGTGGGGTTTCCCTGAAGGTGCATCATCATTCCCCACATGGTGAGGCCGGACGCCCCAGACACATGACTGCAGTGCCCAGGCAGAAACAGAGGTGCCTGGCCTTTTTCGGTCAAGGCCGCCTGGTGTCACGAAAACGGCAGTCATCCGAAAGCACCTTCTGTCCGATCCCTTATGCACCATGATTTGAAGCCACAAACCTGGTGTATATGTGCTTGCTTTGGCCGAACCCCAAACCCCAACACTGAAAGCCCTGATGTCCTAAACCCCTCAGTGACTCAACCCGTGCTTGGGCCCTTCCGCCCCCACCAACACTAACGTCACTGGCTTTGAACAATCCCGGAGGGCCTTGCTCTCCAAAATGCACCAAATTCAGTGTGGGCGTGGCGCATCAGAAGGCCGCAAAGGAGTAGTTTGCTCTCATACCTCAGACCTCCAACCCTCAACCCCTCCGATGCAGGATGGGGGGGCGCAACCTGGGTTTGAGGTTTGTGGTCTAGGGTTCAAGGTTTGGGGCTTAGGGTTTGGGCTTCAGGGTTTGGGGAACCGATGGTATGCAAAGAAGTGGGGAAGGTAGGCACAGAGCTTTGGGGTTTGGGACTTTGAGGGCTTGGGATGTAGTGCTTTGGCGCTTAGGGTGTTTGGGGTGTGGTCTTAGGGCTTTGGAGGTTTAGCCTTTGCCTGCTGGGTTTCGGTGCTGGGGGGTTTGGAATTTAGGCTTTCGCGGTTTGTCTGAGGTTGCATCATGGGGAAGTATCCGGCCGGACGGCGGGCTAGTTGTGAGGTTGTGTCCCTGAAGTACATTATGGGACTGGGTTTAGGGTTTAGGGTTTAGGGTTTAGGGTTTAGGGTTTAGGGTTTAGGGTTTAGGGTGTTGGAGCTATGTTTTGCGGACACAGCAAAGTTGGAGCTCTGAGCTCCTAGCCGAGATGCCCCCAACCTTCGTAGCCCTAAAGCCTAAAGACCCCCCCTCAACTCTGGGCTAATTTAGGGGGTCGGAAGAATTACCCGATGGTATTCCCTCATGGCCCCTCTACTATTGTACTAGCATATCCCTCAAAACCTTGTTCAAACAGTTAAGGCCCCTATAGTACGGCTTCCACCCTGTTGTCGTAGCTGCGGCAGCGCCACACAGCCACCGGGCGCATGATGTACTGAATTCGCCCCTGATTCTCGGTAATTCAGCCTTGCCGACAAGAAGCTAGCCTGAGGCCTGAAAAAGGTTCCATCCCAAAAGCCCTAAACCCAAACCTAACTCCCTAACACAACACTGCGGTTCAGGGTCTCAGAGGTTTCTTGGGCTTCGTGAGGGTTTGGGTGCTGCTGTGGGGATGGTCTCCGCTTTATTCGCCCCAGCACTCCAGGCTTCGTTGGGGGTCGAGCAGCTCCTGTGAGCTTTCAGGCCCTTCCCCTAAACCCGGAACCCCTACAGTATCCCCTCTCCCTCTCTCCCCCCCGCAAAAACAAAGAACATAAGCCCCAACCTTAAGATCTTGCAGGCATGAAGGCCTCGAAGCCTTCACGTCCGAAAATAGATGCTTCTGTGGATCTGTAGCTACGTGGCTAAGGGTTTGTGACTTTGAGTGCTTTCAGAGTGTCGGGTACTGTAGATTCTTGGGTCGATCAAACGGGCCATCGCCATCCTTGGCCTCTCCTCTGCGTTTCCTTGGCAGCTTCGTTGTGTTAAGGCAATGCCCCCGTTTATGCTCCCCCAAGAAGAGATCCTAATTTAGAACAAACCCCCCCCCCCCCCCCCCCCCCCCCCCCCCCCATATCGTAACTCTCGACACCCCGCACAAAAAAACCAGAAAGACCTGCAGACCCTAAGGCCCTCAAGCCCTCAACCCCTCCAGACTCCACACTGTCACCCATGCGCCAGAAACAGCCGACGCCTAAACAAGCTCCTCTGCGGAGTGTAGAAGTGACTCCGACAGCGGCTGCATCATACAAGGTCTTTGTGGCAAAGGATCGATTTCAACGGCAACAACATCGCCACTTGCCTTCCTGGGTTTCTCTTCGGGCTAGAGGTTTCCCTCTTGAGACCCCCAAGGTTACTAAACCAACAACAGACCTGCCACCTTAGCGCGAGGTGTAAGATGAGAGTTGAGCCCGAAACCCTTTCCCAGGTCACCCACCTAGCCATGGCCCTCCTTATCTCAAGTTGAGGTTCTGTCCGCGAAGCCGAATGGTTGCAGCGCATGCTCCCCAAACCCAAAGCCCGAGCGTATAGACGCGCCCAGCTTCGATCCTGCCAAGCTGCGAAGCAGCTGGCATAATAGGGTTCAGGGTTCAGGGTTCAGGGTTTAGGGTTTAGGGTTTAGGCCTTGGAGCTTAAGGAACCTGAGTTTTCCAAAGAAGAGTTATGGTTATTGACATTTGCAGGTCTTGATGGTGTTGCAGGGCTCCGGGGGGCTAGGTGCGCGAACAACTGAGAACTCTCAAACCCTCAAACCTTCAAAGTCCTCGACCCTGAAACCCGAAAGCCTGAAACCCTGACACCCCTCAAAGCCAAACTCCCAAAGAGCCCTCAAAACCCTCAAAACCCTCAAAACTCTCGGACTCTCAAAACCTTCACAAAGCCCTGAACCCCTGACCCAAGGTGTCTCTGGCTGAGATTGACAAGCTCGTTGTTGAGGAGCTCATGTTAGAGTTGAGCATCCAAATGCAGAATAGGGGTCCCCTGTACTCCTTTCAGGAATCCCCAATGAGGGTGTCCCCATTTGGGAAACCTTAGTTACCTTAGTCGGCAGGTATCGGACACTGCTTGCGCTGGAGGAAGCCCCAAGCCCGAACAATCCCTATACCTGTACACCCAAATCAGCCCAAAACCTCTAAGCCCGAGGTCCCAAACGGGAACCCTAAACCCCAACAGCATCCAGCAACCCTTAATAAAGTTGAGCTGTTTGAAGAAGGTTCGCGGTCAGCCACGGGGCATGTGCATGTTCACTGTTTCATCTGCAGCCACCCGTTCTCAAAGCCGAGAACATCAGAGATTCAGTGGCAGCCATGGTTGTGCGCACCATCCGCAAAGAAAGGGACAACGTTCCTTACAAAAGGCAATCGGCCGTCAACATGTACTGCATCGCCAAGTTCGATGGCAAGAGCTTAGGTGGCAGAATCGTAGCAGAGAAGCGCGACGATAACGGGAAGAAGATCGCCTACACCGTTGAGCTGTTTGGCATCGAAGGTCGGCAGCTTGTCTCATCATCCTTGCATCGCACCAAAGGGGCTGTCTAGGCAAACCGCTCATCCAACGGCAATACGAACCAGGCCCGAAACAAAACCACATCGAGAAGACAGGAGTGTTTAGGGTCTACGGGGAGGTATTCAGGTATGGTTACCGATCTACAGCAACTGGCCAAGGAAGGTCATTGCAGTGGCTGATGTGAAGTTTCGTGGAATCGACACAGCCATGCAGGACTCCTTTGGCTCATGAGAAGCATCAACCTGTTCCCCTTAAACACCCCGCACCCTCACGTCAATATGTTTCCTACTACAAGGCGGGTCATACTTACCATTAGGGCTTGGGGCTTTGCGGTTCGGGGGCGTGCTTGTGAAGCATTAACCATAGCACTCCCAAAGTATGGTCCCTTTTGGGGTCTTCAATATAAGGCCCCTTAAACCCTAAGCCCTAAACCCTAAACCCTAAACCCTAAACCCTAAACCCTCTATGTTTAGGGTACCCAAAAAGGGAACATAATTTAGAGAACTGACCATCTGAGATTGTTGATCATTCTCCGGGTGTGGCCCCGCTGTGTGTACTTGGGCCCCTGGACTTGAGTTATTAGGGTTAGGATTCTAGAGTTTAGGGTTTAGGGTTTAGGGTTAGGGTTTAGGGTTTAGGGTTTAGGGTCAGGGTTTAGGGTTTAGGGTTTAGGGTTTGGGGTTTAGGGTTTAGGGTTTAGGGTTTAGGGTTTAGGGTTTAGGGCTTAGGGTTTAGAACTTGTGAAACTTCAAAAGAACCCCACGGGGAGCCTTGGATGCTTCAGAGGAAACATGCAATCTTAGGCCAGCCAGGATCATTTTTCTCAGGGCTATACGTTTAGGTACAAATCCTTGAAAAACGTGGGTTTGCAGGTTTTTTATAGCTTTTGCATGCAGAACTTGCAAGTCAACCTTGCATCCCTGAAGGAGTTGCGCAAGACGGCCGAAATGCTCGATGAGGCTTGCTGCTCTTTCTCCATTCAGGTGGTCAATTGGAAGATGTTCAAGCGTGAATGGGACAGTGGCACAGAGACGCGCTTTTATGGTGGCTGGAACTGATGGACGAGAAATAGTTAGCTCCTGGTGAATCTAGGACGGTTCCTGGTTGATGCTTGCCCTTACGAGAGATGGGCATGGTTTGCTTTAGGTGCTTCTAGTGATGCTGAAGTGGGCTGCTTGTGGGCTCACGGGACTGTGCAACTGGGTTATAGGCATGGCCCCTTTTTAGGGTACTTAGGATTCTGCTGAGAACCTACCGATGACATCCCGTGATCCTTCAATCAGAACGCAAGCTGTGCTTGTGTTTAGAGTGGGGTGCCTCTGGGGGTGATGGAGGAGCCGCGGATGCAAAAGCGCGCGTGCATCATTCGCTGACTTTTGGAAACAAGGCTTTCATGCCACATCAGTGGTTTTTTCTTCCGTCAGGTTTTCTCATTCTAAGAGGGTCCTTTCTAGTAAGGGTCCGATTCTTTCACATCTCAATCAGGGCCCCTTTTTCTGAAGCTTCCGTATGTCGGAAAACTTATCTTCCAGTTTTGGGCATATGCTTTCAGCCTGCAGGGGTCCTCATAAATGGGATCATAGGGACCTGAACTTGGGGTTACAAGCAAATAATCAGTATTTGATAGCCCTGTTTAGTAAGTCCCCTTATGCCCTAAGTAGCCTGTCAACCAGGACTTGCTCAAGTTAGGAGTTTGTTGATGACACCAAAAAGCAGTGGCCCATGCATTGTTTTCCTTTACAACACTGTCCTCTTGCCCTCATGGGGCTGTTGAGGGTTCAGGGGGCTTCGGTTGTGGTTTTAGGGATTAGGGTTTGAGGACGTAGAGTTCGTTGTGTAGGTCAGAGCCCCAATGAAAATGAAGTGGTGAGTTCCAACACAGCCAGCGACTGTTTTACTCTATTTCATTTATGTTGCATTGGGATGGGTTCAGGGTCTAGGCACAGGTTACGTATCGGAGAAGCGACAGTTTAAGAAGCATACAGTGTAGCATTGCTTTTGGCTGTTAGATTTTGTATTTTATGTGTGTGTGTGTGTCTGTGTCTGTGTCTGTGTCTCTGTGTCTGTGTGTGTCTGTGTCTGTGTCTGTGTCTGTGTTTGTGTCTGTGTCTGTGTCTGTGTCTCTGTGTGTGTGTGTGTGTCTGTGTCTGTGTCTGTGTCTGTGTCTGTGTCTGTGTCTGTGTCTGTGTCTGTGTGTGTGTCCGTGTCTGTGTGTGTGTGTGTGTGTGTGTGTGTCTCTGTTGTGTGTCTTGTTTGTGAGTGTGTGAGTGTGGGAGAGGGGGGGTACGGTGGTTACTGCGTTCAGGTTAGGTCAGGGAATATGGCTGGCCATCAGAGCTCGGAATGAGTCTCTGCCAGCTTTGTCGGGTTGTGTTGTGGCTTCTCTGAATTTTGCTGAAACCTGAAATTGCCCCCTGTAGGTTACACAGAAAAAGCACAGTTGAGCTTTGACCATCAATCGTTTTCAGGGTGCAGTGTTGCAGAGGGTTTGGCCTCATTGGCTCAGTTCAGGTTAGAATCGCTTGATGGCGACACCGAACGTGAACTGTTGTCCTCAAATACCATCTCCAGCCACGTTTAAGGGTGTTAAACCCTGAGCCCTCAACCCTCGAATTAGGGTTCAGGGTAGTTATGGGTAGTTGGTTCGACCTGCTGGCAGGAGTTCCCCGTGCTGAATCACAAGCCGGCGCTGATGCGAGCGTGCTCCCGGAAGTTGTAAAGCCTCCCTATACCCTCAAACCATGAAGCTGAAACTTCTATGCCCAAACCCTGAACAAACCAAACCTGAACAAATCTGTATAAAACATCTCAAGCCCTAAGCTCCAAAGCCCTACAACCCCAAACCTTTGCGTCTTCCTCCACTGTGCAGGTACAAGGCAGCCATCCGCTCTGACGGCGACAGCCCGGTTCCCAGCAGGGCCTTTCCAGAGCTGATCTTGGTACGCCTGGCTTGGGGTTTAAGGTTTCGGTTTAGGGTTTAGGGTTTAGGGTTTAGGGTTTAGGGTTTAGGGTTTAGGGTTGAGGGTTGAGGGTTGATGGTTGAGGGTTGAGGGTTGAGGGTTGAGGGTTGAGGGTTGAGGGTTTAGGGTTTAGGGTTTAGGGTTTAGCCTTAGGGTTTAGGGTTTAGGGTTTAGGGTTTAGGGTTTAGGGTTTAGGGTTTAGGGTTTAGGGTTTAGGGTTTAGGGTTTAGGGTTTAGGGTTTAGGGCTTTGACCGCGGCTTTTGGGCTTTAGGGTTACTTTTGCGTTTCGGGTTGTCGGGCTGTAGGGATTTAGTGTTTCACGTTTGGGTTTTCGGGGCTTGGGGTTTCCAACTGCTGGCTCAGTATATTTTTCTTCTTTCAATTGAGGTGCAAGGTGTTTCAGATACGAATTGGACTCAGGACTGGGCCGCTAACCCCCCCCCCCAACTTCCCAAATCCCGAAATCCCCAGTCTACACCCCTAAGCCCTAAACCCCATAAACCTCAAAAACCCTAAACCCTAACCCTAAACCCTAAACCCTAAACCCTAAACCCTAAACCCTAAACCCTAAACTCTAAACCAAGCTCCGCGCTTCCGCCCCTGAAGCGACATTTCAGGCGACGCCTGGGTCGAGAAGCACGAGTTCAAGCCAGGGCCTTGTGGTAGAGAAGGGGTTTAGGGTTTGGGGTTTGCGGTTTGGGGTTTGGGGTTTGGGGTTTGGCGTTTGGGGTTTGGGGTTTGGGGTTTGCGGTTTGGGGTTTGGGGTTTGGGGTTTGGAGTTAGGGATTATAGGCATTTGGGGGCTTAGGGCTTAGGGCTTAGGGCTTAGGGCTTAGGGCTTAGGGCTTAGGGCTTAGGGCTTAGGGCTTAGGGCTTAGGGCTTAGGGCTTAGGGCTTAGGGCTTAGGGCTTGTCGGGTTTAGGGGATGTTTGTAGCCTCGGCCAGGCCTTGTAGGGTTTAGCTGTAGTATCGCACTAATTAACAGGATTTCAGGGTTCTCCAGGGTTTAGGGTTTAGAGAGAGATCGCATTTGAGGTTGTTGCTTTAGGTCTGAAGCGCCCCCAACAATGTTTCGCCGTTCGCATGCTGTCCTATGCCTACAGACCATCTGTGCATTGATGGGCAGCAAATGCAGCCGCGAGTGCTTTGTTCAAGCTGTGTCCGTTAATCATTTCTCTGGATTGAGGCAAAGTTTAGGGTTCAGGACAACTTTGTTTCCGAGGAAGCTCTTGGGCTACCTGATCTACTTCAACAAGCTTTTCTGGGTCTTCGAAAGCTGTGACGGAGACCGAGACAGGCCCGATGCTTCGCGTTCTTGGCTATCAGCCGCTTGGGGCTTTCAGGGTTCAGGGGTTAGGGGTTTCGGGATGCTGTAGTGTTTGGGAAGGTCTCGTTTTCTTGGAGACTGGGATTCAAGGACCTAAGGCTCTGCGGCCTGGCCCCGAGGAACCTTCCCTGAACTTTTGCTTTCTCCATTTCAGGACTCAGGAGCTTGGATGTTATAAACACCTCCTTGGAGACCCGGAGCAAACCCCCCTCCCCACCCAAGCGGCCCTGTGTCGGTTTTCCTGGCCCTGGAGCTCTGCATGCCCGCCCTACAGCCTAACTACATCCATCCCGAACACCCCAAGCCCCATACGACACCCAATCTTTCAAGGCTGAAAGTATGCCCCCCTGAGTCTTGCCTCGTTTCTGCCGGCCTTGTCGATACCCTGCCGAGCAGTTGCCGTCTTGGGCTTGCGGTTTGCAACGCGGAGTTGCAAATGTAGGGCGCAGGTTGCGACTCTACACGGTCCTACAAACCTTTTCAGGCCCCAAAAATCCCGAAAACCGTTTGTCCAGGCGCCTCACCTACAATGAGTTCAAGTGGTGCCTCACCACGGCCGGCGCCAGGATGCCATGGGCTTGGGGTGATGAAGGGGATCCTTGTTGTGGGCGGGGGGGGGGGGGGGGGGGGGGCGTGTAGGGTTTCTAGGGTTTGTGTGGTTGTAGGGTTCGTAGGGTTTAGGATCCTAACCGGGTGGGTTGAGAGTCAACCCTAAACCCTAGACCCCACACTTTTACACAGGAACACCATTGGAAGGTTTATAGGAAGGTGGCATCCGCGTAGACAAAAGATGCTGGTGAAGCTCCTGCTAGTTCATTCAGGAGCCGTGCACCTGCTAACCAGGGGAGCCTTGTGTAAACGTCACACACGCACACATTCTCAGCCGGGTGGCCCCAAGCGTCGAGAACCATTTCTTTTTGGTTCTGACTGAGTTTCGGACAGTTCAAAGTTCAAACTTGCCCGTTAAAGATGTTCGTCTTTTGCAGGCTTCACGGTATGTAGGGTCCGGGGTTTAGGGCTCAAACTTCTGCGTACTTGTGGGTAGATGATGGCCACAGCAAGGGCTGCTACCACTTTTAAACCCCGTGAGAAACCCTGCGAACCCTCAAACTCTACTACCCGATATAAACCCTGTAGACACCCTTTCTAAACCCGATGTAACCCACAAGGTCGGAGAACGAGATCCGCAGCGACTTCAGCAAGGTGGATCGTAACGGTGGAGGCTGGGACAGTCGCCCTCCGATTTTTTCAGAGACTCCGGGAGATGTTGTCAAACAGCCGGGTTTTCTGGGGTTTAGGGTTTAGGGTTTAGGGTTTAGGATATCCCACCCCAAAGAACCCTCGATATCTAGTAAGGTGCACAAACAGGGACCTCTCATGTTCCCGCCCTCCATAGTAGCCCGCCCCCTCGCCTGGACCTAAACCCTCAACATAACCCTAAACCCAAACCGTAAAACCTAGCATGAACCACAGGGGCAGAGTGAAAACCCTAAAGCCCAAACTTAAGCCCCTTTTAAAACCACATCCACCAGGTCACAAGCCGTGAGCCACGACAGAGGGGAAAACCTGAACCCGAAACTCTAAACCAACCCAGAAAAAGCGGGGCGAGGGTGGGAGTTGGGGGAGGGCGGGGGGCACAGTTGCCTGCATAGGCCAAGAGACTACAGATCACGCTTTGGCGGAACTGAAAGGTGGCTCTTGCTTCAACCCTGCCATTTATCGGAGAGTGATCGCAGATTCTAGGGGTTTATGTGTTTTTTACATATCGCTTCTGTGCTGAAGCCTGTAACCCTGAGGGGATCGTGGAGTTGGCGGCTTTAGCTTCAGGGTCTGAAGCACGCCAGGAATAATCCTGTTCGATGAATTCTGCAAGTACTTCACCATGAAGTCATGCCGGGACGCACGGCCGTGGGATTTGGGATTTGTAGGAGTTTGCGACTAGCGTTTCTACAGCAGGAGGCCAAGGTTCTGTGTTCGGGAAACTGCCACCCACAATTGCCACGACCCTCAAAGCCTAGACCCTAAGAGAGCTCAACCTTGTATCGAATGGGATTCGGAAGAGGACGAGGGTGAGAATGATAAAACAATTTTAAATGCTGCTGCTGATGGCGTCGAGGATGGTGATGATGCTGATAATGATGATGATCATGATGATGATGTCAACAGCCCTAAACCCTAATCCCTAAACCCTAAGCTCCACCCCCCCCCCTAAACTCTGGAAGAGGCGTGTTCCCTAAGCACTTCTGGGCTGTGGGGTTCTGTAAGAAGAGGCTCTTGAGGGACAAAAGCTACCAACATGGGGTCAGCAAATCCCTATAGATCTCCCGAAGCGCAAAACCCTAAACCCTACATTTAGTATGTAGATGGATCTACTAGACCCCAACGTGCGCACAGATGCTTTTCTTAGGGCTTGGGTTTAAGGGTATTTAGGGTCCAGGGTCGATCTAGTGCTGGGCGTTTTATCCAGGAAGCCAACACCCGAGCCCCCAAAACTCTTGGAACCTTGGCAGTCCCAGGCCCTCAAGCATAGATTCTCTCGACCCGTGTTTTTGGACCTTTTACCCCAAACCTCCCGGCACCTGACCAAAACCGTAAGCCTCTGCCGTCTTGACAAATATCTGTACAAGGCCCCGAGTGCTTAACGGAGATGGCCCAGTGAGGACCCCGCTTCCGGAGGAAGCCCCGGGAGTCACATCTGGCGGGTTTCAGGTTTTAGGTTCAAGGTTTAAGAGGTTTATGTAAGGTGAAAAGTTCGAAGTTTTTGGGGTGATTTTTTTGGCAGTTTCAGGGGTTAGGGGTTTAGTAGGGTTTGGTGTTCGTTTTTGCGGTGTTAGGGCTTGCGGTGTAAGATCTTCTTGTGTACGCCGTCTGACCTGTAGCATGTAGTCTTGAGGGCGAGCCGCTCGCTACTGTACTCGTCACCTAAACCAGCCTTAGGTGAACCGATGCTTGAATTGGTCTAGGTTCAGGGTTCAGGGTTGATCCCTCCAGCCGATGCAGAATTCAGCAAACTGCCACCGTCGGCAGGTTTGCATCAGGAGCTTCGCAACCGTCCCCAATCAGCTCGTGGGAAATGAAGCCCCTAAACCCTAAACTCTGAATCCTAAACCCTAAACCTTCGGGTCTATATTGTCCTCGCACTTCTGCAAGGGCTTCTTCGGGGGATCTCTGCCTTGAGCAGGGGCGGCCCGACCTTGAAGAGACCAACCCCCAACCTTATAGACCCCTTGCCCTAGACTCGGGGTCCCCGAGCCCTAAACCTAAATGGCCCAAACACCGTTGAAATCGCAATCCCCTAAACATTGGGATGATCCCCTTTTACTAACAATCCTTCATAGGGATTTTGGTACCCCCTACAAAAATGCCCATTAAGGACTGTTAGTAGAAGAGGGAACATCCCAACCCAAACACCTTAATCGCCCAACCAAGACGATCCGCACCTCGTGATCAAGCAGCCCCACCCTGAACTGAGGATTTAAGGGTTTAGGGTTTAGGGTTTTGGGTTTAGGGTTTAAGGAGGGCTAAGGATTAAGGGCGCAGGGGGTTTAAGGGTTTGAGGATAAGGGTGTAGAGGTTTCAGGGTCTAGGGGTTGGAAGGGCTTGCATGGCTTAGAGGGTTTGTGTGGGTCCGTAGCCCTAGGTGAGGCATGTGCTATCTCAGCACAGCCGCAGCAGAATTTATAACCCTCAGCCCTCAACCCTGATCCGGTTCTTGTGCGTTGTTTCTGCGCACTTGGAAGTACCTGACATGCACGCTGCCAGCGATACCTGCGAGGGTTTGTGGAGGATGGCACTTGCAGTGCTTGCAAGCTCTCAAACACCTGTCGGTCCTAAACTCGAGGAGCCCCAAACAAACCAAGGTGGGTGGCTGAGGTGGTGCGGGCTGCTCCAACCCAGAACCCGTCAAAACTCCAAGGCATTTTCCAAGCACCAATGTGGATTAGGGCAGGTTTGGGGTTCATGCGAGACTGATCCTGAAGCATGTCGCCTGAGGAGGGCCCAGCACACTGATGCTGGGCATCCGGGATTCGGGGACTTGGGGTTTTTGGATCTGGTGCAGAGACTCGAAGTGCGATCTACTCCACTTGCCTTCGAAGGCTTCTGCGCTTGCCCGAGCGCTGTGCCTCGCACATCCCTGCGCGCCCTAAACTCTCAGGTCGCAATCCATCCGGCTCTCGAACCCCAAAACCCATCGAACCATGATACCCCTGGCAGTAGACGTTGTCCTGCAAAGTCTGTCAGGCTGCAGAGTGCGAGAGGTACTCCCGCACCCCAAAGCCCCACAAGCCTAGAACCCCTGACGGGCAAAAACCCTACAAACTAAAGCCACCTCCCCCGCACTAAACCGAAACCCGAAACCCTAAACCCCTTCCTGGCTCGGGAGGCTTCAGGGCTCCGGGGGTAGGGAGGTGGGGTGGCTAGACCCAAACCCCGAACCCTAAACCCCAAACCACAATAATTCATAAGCCCTAAACCCTAAGTGTGGCGGGTTTAAGGCCCAGGGACTCCTGATCTCACCCCGACCGACCCGACGCCAGCTCGGCGGGGAAAAGGACACAGGTGCGCTTTCCGGGCCTGCCTGCGTGCCCAAACCCTACAACTTTGTGGGTCATAACTTGCAGCCCTCTGCGTGACGCACAACTGCCCTAAACAAACGGTCGAATAAGTGGGGAGGCACGGCAGGGTTTAGTAATTAGGGTTCTTCTTTTGGTTCCCTACGTCGTGGCAGTCGAGTTGAGGGCTTCTAAGGTGGGTGCGCGCATGTTGGGGCACTAAGCATCCCGGTGATGAAGAGGTAACGATGGCGAGTTTGGGGTTTTGCTCTGGGTTTTCAATTGGTTTTGGGTTCTTGGGCCAGTGCTCGGGTGTGTTGCAACCATCAAGATTCCTGAAACCCTGAACTTATGTTCTGAAAGACATCTCCGAAGGACGAAGGCAACCAAGCGCTGAACCCCTAAAGTTTAGTTATGAGGGTTTAGGGTTCCCTTTGGGTTTCAAGTCATATATGGGTTTGTGTTTTTTTTTGGGGGTTCAGGTTTAAGAATGGCA